CATAGTTTTCAATACAAGCAAATTACATTTTGAAAATGTCTAAAAGAAATTATAATGGCATAACTGTTAAATGGCTAAATCGCTAAATAGCCTAAAGGACCGTTTTAAATGGATTAAGCCATATATTTATACGAGTATGAAATGTGTTTTGTTTGCCAAACAAAAAGTTGGTACATCCTAGTGATGACTTAAGATATTTTAAATTTTAGTATAACATGTATTAGAATTTGTATATACTTTTGTCATTTAGATCAATAGATAAAAGGAAAATATTGCATTAAACGAGATCGTATGCTAAAATCAACCTAAAATCTTTTTACATGGGACCAACGATTTAATGTCTATTGAAACTTTACCTATTATCATGCAAATATGACACCTGAAATGGCTTATTATGTTCTGTTAAATATTTAATAATTACACTATAATACATCTTATTTATATTTTTTAGAAAACTAATTTTGAAAAAAAATGTTTTTACGTTATTCAAGATAACGGTATTATAAATGTATTTTGAAAGAAAATGTCCTTATTAAAAATATTTACTAATAAACAGTGGCGTAACTAGGGGGTGTGATGTAGGTGATTTATCTGTTTGTGGGTATGGTCTTCTTGTTGTCAATAACAAATACTCAGATCACTCTCCGAAATAAGCTCCTAGTTGCGCCACTGTTTCGGACGTAAAATGTTCGTGTACACTATGGATTATAATATTATTATCGCATTGAAATTTGGATCGCGAATACCACGCGGTCAAAACTCGTGCGCCCACTTATACAGAGTCAGATTCGACGATAAAAAAAAATCACGCCTATGCGTTGAACAGCCTTAAAAATCATTTTCGATATGATAGGGGTACACTATTACAGTGGGCACGTTGTTTTTCGTACATTATATATAAATATAGTCGTGGTGCTATAGCGTATATGGGGGTAGGGGTATTTGTCGTGAGGGTGTATGAACTGTGTGCACGGGGTTTATCGGGTCGGCTTAACTCGGCCGAGCGGGAAAAGCGGAAAAACGGCGCGGAGGGAGGGGCCCGTCCCCGGACGGCTATCCGTCCCGCCCGCCCCGGGCCCGAAGCTCACTATATAAAAACCGTTGCGCCGCCGTCGGTCAAAGAGACGGTCCGTCGGACGGAGCTTTTCGGCAGAGCGCGGGACGGCGCGGTGTGGCGGGGCAGCGCGGGATGAGGGGAGTGTTTGATCGCACCGCCGCTATACCAACAGCTATACCGGCCCGGTCGATTGTCGGAAAACGGAAGTTAAAAGGGGATTCTGCGGGCCGGAGACCCGAGAATATCCGGGAGAGCGTCGCGAATGTACACGCGACACACGCACGGGCACACGCAGCCAGTCGGTGGTGGGGCGCCAATCGCCGAATGCCGCGCCGCGTGTCTATATTGTACAACAACACTTGTACCTCATTTTACCGTGGGTTTGGCGGCGGACGGCCCCGGGCGATAATCGTAATGTTTAATAACTATCGATTTTCTCCTATCCATATTTTACGACATTCTATGGCCCGCCGACGTGTTTGGGCGCGCCACGCTCGCGTTTATCGCGTTATCGGAAACAGTGGCGGCTCCAAGTATTTTTTTTTTTACCTCGAATCACGGATTTAATTTTCCAAACGCCCGTCCACCTCAACCCAAACATATCCCCGCCCTGTCACGAGTGCATTGGAGTTGCAACATATTTCAATAAAATTCGTCAAATTCAAATCTATCAAATTTCCGCGGTCTAAAATTCGTTGACAATACAATTCTAATGACTTTTGTTTTGTAAAAACATAATCATTTTTGTTATATTTCTGAACACCCAGACACCCACCCCATCCATCCGTTTTTTTGTGAATCGCGGAATTCAAATATAGCTCCTTCGAGCCGCCACTGAATGGAACAATAAATTATATGCTCTTATACACGATTTTTTGATAACAAGTCAAGTTTTAGAGATTTTGAGTATAGCGAAGTGATATTAAATTTAAGACTATGATGTGCGTGTTATTTTTTAGATTTTTAGCGCAGTAATCAATATATATACGAGTGTAATATATTGGTTTCACTATGATGTGTACCTTTTTTCCGCCTGTTTAACAACATTTTTACTAAAAATCTTGCTCCAGTCAAAAAATGACAATAAACCTTCTTTGTAACATTTTGGATCTAGTCGGGGTGCATTTAGAGATCGTGTTTCCTTAATTTTGATAATGGCTGGACAGAACCCGAAAAGAACATAGGAAAATTGAAAAGTTTTCAAAAATAACGCGGTTTCATAATTTTCGATTATGTTTTTTTTGAAACATGGTTATGTAGGCGAATACTAAAAATGCCATGGTGACCAGATCTTATTACTAATCAAAGGCTAATCAAGTAGAAATGATGGAAAAAGATAAGAAATTTCTAATGAGGAATAATCAACGATGCGAAATACTCCAGCTTGTATTACAAGGAAAAACCGATGAAAAGAGAAGTTTGCAAAGAATATCTTGGTTGATGAATATCCGTGAATGGTATAATAAAATATCAAATAATGATTTATTTTGTGTTTTTTTTTTTTCTGTCTGTAAACAACTTTTGAAAAGAAATCTACAGAGTATAGTACATTTTCTGAAAGAAAATGTTGTCTAGTTGTCGCGTTAAAGAGGTGGTTTTTGATTTTCCTTGGGATTTTCAAAATAATTGGGAAACATCCGATTAAAAATTGTAGGCAAAACGGCAAATATTTACAGCGCGTAGCTCTACAGCGGCGTTATACCGATTTCATTGTTTTTAACTTTTGTAAACTATGTTTTCTACCAGATATTTTTTTCCAATTTAAAAATGACAAGAAATCAACTGACAAATTAACGGTGGACGTTACGATTCCATTATTTAAAATGGTTACGTTTTCGTTTTTTATCAGAAATATTGTTCCAATAGAAAAACAATACGGAACATTTCTTACTGAATTTTTAATAAAAATAGTGAGTAAGAAAGTCGTTTTTCGATTTTCTGTGTAAAATCGAAAGTTCCGGACAATTTTTTTAATAATCTAAATTTTGTTTTTTTTTAGTGGAATTCAGTAAAAATTATTCTTAGAGACTTGAAATTATGTCAGAAAACTTATATCTATATGTTTTCTAGACGTGATAAAATTTTCAAAACATTTGAGCCATTTTTGAGGTATGTATAGACATTTTAATTTTACGAATTTTCTTTCGTAATATTTATTCGGTAGGTACTTTGTGGATAAAATTGTTGACTACACAGAAATGCTTGAAAATTTGACAGGTGGTTCGTTATAAGTCGTACTAAGTGGTAAAAAAAAAAAAAAAAAAAAATTGAGTGTAATGTAGTATATTCTTTTTTTATATAAGAGTTTTAAAAACATATTTTGATGAAACTCGTATAAATATTACGGCCTTTCTAAACAACTATAACCAAACTTCGCTCCAAATCCTTTTTCGTTAGTAATAGTTTATCCTTGGCTACAGGAATACATTAAATAACTTAATGTATACTACCTTCCTAATTATCCACCTATAATAGTGGCCGCACTCGCCCCCAATATTAGCTCTTTTTTTTGTTTCTGAGTGTGCTATTAGTTTTATCATGTTTTGTTTTATTCTTGGGAAACGTTCATTCTGAAAAGCAAAAAATTCTCCGAAACTTTCATACCGTATATCTTTATTAAAAAACGTGTATTATCTGCCCGTGGTGGTACTTTATAGTTTACTCGGAATGTTTGTCTACCTAACCTAAAGTTTTTTTTTAAAAATCCGATAATAAATGACGATTAGGTGTGAGGTACCTGCAGATTTGAATAAGAATTTATATCGTGCAGAAATTTAGAATTTCGGGTCTACATGCACAGGATGGTAGGTTGAATTTTGTAACTTGTCATTTTACTGGGGTCCATTATGGTTACACTCCCACAGCGCCACTCGAAATCGTTTTTCGATCGCAATGATTTATGTATCGTTAGTTGCTTTCGGGATATAAACTTAATTACCATTTACCACTACCATATAATATCATATACCTAACTAAATTTATTCCCACCTACAACACTGGCCAACCCACGGTACGAATATTACGGTCGGCTCTTTTTGTCGTTTCATTTGCAATTAGTATACAAACATTTTGTGAACATACATCTCATATTTATCTATGACGTGTGAGGTGAGACATTTGAATTATTTGTATACCGCATACCTATATTATTATAATATTATATATACAGTCGCCCAATAGAGTATTTTAGTATTTTAGGTACCTATTAGAACTGACGACTGTCAAAGTTTAAAATATGCAATTTGATTAACCATACAGTTTTAAACAATAACTAAACACGCCAAAATTCAAATGTTTTTTTTTTTTTCCGAGTGATTACTATAATACCTGATGAGTACACCTTGTTCGAGTGCACATATATATTATTTGCACCAATAAGCCGTGCTGGACTGCTGATCTGTTTTGACGGGCCATCATTCATGGTCCGCATGATTTCTATTGTTGTTTCATTTTCGAAAACTTTACCTACACACCCCCCACACACACACATGTTAAAATATATTTTTTAAATAACACTTAAAAAAAAAAACAACAGTTCCTGTGTGCGTATATCGAACAATAATAATTATATTTCGGAGAGCAGTTAGCAATAGGTCTGTTTTTGACATATTTTTATAATATCGCAGTTTTAAAACGGCGCTCATATTTTAATGTACACGAATATAATATTATATTGGTAACGTTTGAGAACGAAACATTTTTTTTGTTTATTAATCAATATTTCACTTTGTTTACAAAACCTTTTATTTATTCCGCATATACATAAAGTATATTGTATAAATTATTACGGCAGATATATTGTGTAGTATGTTATTGATAGGTGCATTCAGGACGGTGTATGTAAATATTAAGAGTAGGCATGAAATTATTCAATTTTTTAGTATAAAACTTATATTGAAAATAAAAACATACACATAATAACAATACATAATATACAATATGTTCGTAATATCAAAGAAATAAATAAAAATGATTTCTTATTATTCATTCTATTACTATATTATACATATTAAATATTAATTCACATATATCAACTAGTATATAAACTATCATTTTATTTTCTTTAATATCTTTCTTATAAAAAAATGTATATTTTATCTTGCAGTATATTTGACGCGTGAGATCAGATTGTATTTTGGAATACCTAATGATTTAGTTCATTAAGTTTTCATTAAATTATATTTTAAACATGCTGATCTTACAAAAAATGTTATATAATAATTGATTATATATATACATCTTTGGTCCCAGGGAAAAAGAACTGAAGTATTGACTATTGATCAATTAATTTAAGTATTGGCATTTTTTTTAAATAATTGTCGTCTTGTGTAATTTGTTTTCCTTCATTTTTTGGTTTTAATTACATAAGTGTATATGTATTTCTGACACATGTTATATTGAAATTTAAAACATGTATCTTAAGCCACTATGATACACGTTTTGTTTGGTGAAAAAAGCCTTATGTCATATAATTATGTGATTTAAGTCTTAAGCTTAATTTAGAATACTATTAATTAGGTTAAGCCATTTAATTTTTCAGCCGTTTAGCAATTATGCTATTATGTCAATTAGTAATTTCTAAACATTTTATTTGCCTGTATTGAAAAATATACAAAATTTACTTAAGCTCCTTCCGCGGGACCAAAAATTTAGTCTATAGTTCAATGTTGACTATTCAGTAACTTGGTAGACGGGACATTTGTTTTTCAGTCTTCTGTTAAACGCTATGACACAAGGTATCAAGTAAAATGTTCCGACTATGATGTATAAACTACCGAATAATAAAATCTGAAAATATATCATAAATTAAAGTACAATATTATAATATAAACAAAATTCGTAAACACTATCGGTTTCTTCTCTCTTAAAACAATTTTTTCAATCCAAATAAATAACAAATAAGTATGTACAAAATATATACTTTATTAATTAAAAGTAATATTTACAAGACTTAGAACTTATAAGTCTTGTAATAAATTAAAGAATATTATATTTATTGTTAAATTAATTATCTTAAATTCGTACCTGTTTGGATACATCGATATGAAATATTTTGCTATAAATAAAAAATTCTTTGTAACACAATAGTAGTATTAAGGATAGCAACGAATTGAAACACAATACGAGTGCGTAACATTTGTTTTTCAGGTGTCTCGCTGTTTCTGACCTATTAGATTAAAAATATATGTATAATTGTATAATGTATGATGTTTAATTATAAAGGTAAATTGTATATACATATATGCATCGTATTACATATTTCGAAATAATTTGCAGTATTTAGCAGCCCATGACCCAATGGTCAAAATTAATGTCGGTCAATATTCAAACAGTTTTTGAAAGTATAAAAAAACAAAGTAACAATTTTTTAAGCGATCAATACTGAAAAATTTAAATCAAATAAATATGATATGAAGAATCTTTTTCATCAATTACGAACTTATATAGTAAATACAAGTATTTCATCGAATATTATATTAAGTTATTTTTCTTCACTCATTATTCAAAAGTTTTAGTGTTCATCTGCACCTAATCTAGAAACGATTTAGACGATACAGACAAAGAAATGGTAAACGTACGTTTCAGGGAGACATGGAGGGCAAAAATTAAAAGTCAACCCCGCTTGCGTGTGTTAAAGACGAAGAGGTAAATAAAAAAAGTGGTGACTAAAGAGATCTCGTGTAATATTTTACATAGGTAATATGGAATCGAAAAATTAACCATCATACAAATTGTACACCCATATGTATAAATTAACTAGACCAGATTGAATACAGCTGAATCCAATTGCTTGCACAACAATATTTATTTGTACGATTATAATATTTATATGATGATTTGTATGCAATACCTTCTACTTACAAGGACTTATAACACTTTTACTTACAAGGATACTACAAACATAGCCTGGATTATCGTTCCGAATAATACGTATGACAGCTGAATGGATAATATTTGTTGGTGAAAATAACAAAACGTCACACACACTCCGAGAATCAACGAACCGGCTCCTATGAATGCGTTACTTTTTAATTTCCAATTTACTCGTTTGACGCCAATTTTGTAAGAGATGACTGCGCCTGTAATTCAATAGTTGTAATAGTATATTATAAATTTACAACGTCGTTTTATAAATTCAATAAAAATTATAACATATTAATAGGTAGGTTAGAATACTCGTGTGTTGGACGGTTTAAACGTTTTTAAAAGCGTATAGTATAGGAGCGATTTTATGACGTAATACACTATTGTAGATCAACCAACGTTTTTATTATAAACCGATAACTTTATGGGTAGTTTGTTAATTTAAATTCAAGACGTAATGTAATTTACCAATTAATGTTGTCAGACATTCAACTACTCCATTCATTTGTTCGTTTTTTTCCGACCCACGAGTTACGAATGACATATTTATCTGTATAATAAAATAATAATAAACAGATTTGTATAGATTGCACATTGATAACGTATAGACACCCCTTGATGACGACTTACTGTTTTATAGCCAACCAGGGCCAAACAATACCAAACGGACCATTTTAAAACAATGGGATTTCTATAGGATTCGTTTAAATCTTTCCACATTCGAATTAGAATTGTTTCGCAAGACGTATTACATTGAACGATTTTGTTCTAAAATATTATACTTAACAAATTAAATAAATACGTTATACAATATTTTAAGTTCAAAAATAATATTTATTGAGGCATATATATAATTAATATATATTAAGTATATTAACTCGGAAATATAATATATTCTCTTATACGAATAATAAACTCGATTTAATATTACATTTCAATCGTTTTTACCTCTGATTGTGGTTGTCCGTTGTTATTTTGCGTCACGAGTTCTCCGAGAACATCGTCGTTGGAATTAATTTGTCTTACTGACGGCAAAAAAGACGCCCAAACAAATGCAAAAATCACGCCTAGAATTGTTATTTTTGTACTCATTATTAAATGTTATTATTTATTATAAAATATAGAATATTAATCAAGTCGTAATGAATCGTTATTTTCTTTGAGTTTTATTTTAAAAAAAAGTAAAAGTTTGTAAAAGAATTGATTTTTTTTTTTTGAGGATTTTAGAGTACATAACTTTAGATGTCTATACTTTTGACGTTATCTATAATTTAGTAAAAGGTACACTTGGGTGCTTAGTTCTATATGGATATAATTAACTGACGAATACGAGTGCAGAGTTATTACGAATTTTGATTTAACATTATGTTTTTGTAAAAATGCATTAATTGATATTGGTTTTTAATAATTTATATTAGCGCAACTAATAATTAATTTTACCAGAGAAGAGTTTGTATAAACTCAATTTGCAGAAATGCTAAATATCGTTTGAAGTAAATTCATATATTATATAAATGATTTTTATAGTATTTTATTTTATTTTTATTTTATAGTATAGTATTTTACTTACTGCCCAATGTGTAACAAGGTAAATTTTTAGCGTACGATTTTCCGTAATTAAACACTAACGTTTGGGCGAACACGGACGAGCAAAATTTGCCCAACAACATGGCAGTCCTGGCCAAACCTGATGTTGCCTGATAAAATCTCTTATCATGTACTTTGGCGAATAAATAACTGAAGTATACGGTCTCGTAGGATTTAAAAAACGCCACGCATAGCTTGGCCATCTGTATAAATAAAAGAAATAAAAAATGTTCGATGCGACGACAATTTTATATTGTTAAAAACTATAAACCTATCTATAGCAGTTCATTAACAACGTATTTATTTACTCTATGAATGCGTAGGTACAGATACGCAATAATACTTACTTTTAATCGAAGAAAATTGGGTAACATTACGAGATTGCCGTAGACGAGAATTCCGCAAAAGACGTTGAACAACATAACCGGTTTATAAAGTAAATAGTAATCCGTGATTATCATTATTACCAAAAAAGCCAAAATACTGGAATAGTCTTCAAGATGTGGTAATTCATCGGTCACCTATATTGATTATTTAGGTATGTATACAAAAACAATAATTAATAAATAATATAAGTGTTTGGCTAATGGGGTTAACAATATTATTGATTAAATAACTATTTATATAGGTATTCGTTTAAATACGAATTAAATAAATATAGTTCCGTTTAATACTAATACAACTGCATTGTATTGTAATGTATAGTTATTTAAACATTTGAAATTAAATAATTCGTAGGTACCTTTTTATAAAGTCGAGTTAATAATTTACCAAAAAATCTCCAAAGTGACCAAAAAATTAATTTAACCCGTTAGTTAAAAGTTAAAATGAAAAATAATGTCTAGTTAACACGGTTAAAAAAAAAAAAACTTTATATTTTCACCAAATACTCGTACGTCTACTAATATAAATATATATATTTTTATTTTTTTTATCAGCTTGTGTAAAGTTAAAATTTTATGAAAAAATTCGTTTAAATGCCGATTTTAATTTTTAATTGTATCAACAAAATATGTTAAATCGAACATTTCTCAGAATCGTTTTTCGTTTGCGATGATTTATCGTTGAATACGCTGATATAAACTAAATTACCCTATGTAATACCCTATATTTTCAATTTTTCTTTTTTAGAAACCATTAAATATCGAGGCATGCATCTTACAAAACAACTGTATCTATAATACTTGTGACGATTTGATATTTAATATTAAAACGAATACCAGCTGTTAGAATTTTTTTATCAAATGAGTATTTTAAGAAGGTATGCTGAACTATTGTGTAAAGTGTGTACTTTATTGAGGATTATTTCAAACCGAGTTAATAATAATGATAATCGATTTAAAAATGTTACAATGATCATATCATACAGGGTTATGTCTCCGTATTATTTTCACGCGGTTGGCGCATTGAGGAGATAATTGTTTGCAATTTTCTGAATGATAGGGAAAAACGGGAAAACTTATGGAAATTTCGATTTTGTTTTTGTAATTCGGTTGAAAATAAGAATCGTATAGAGAGACCTTGCACATTTTCACCGACTTATAATATTATAATATTGTACTAGCCATTTCTAGACGCGGTAAAACTTTCAAGATATTTTGACGATTTCTGAGCTATTTTTCGAATATATTATTTACCTGAGCCGTGGTGATGTTTATTCGCGGACCGGTGAAGTACGCGGTCATGAAATGGTCCGTCGGCCGAAACTCTACGGCGAATCCGAACACTACCACCAGCACGATAATCATTGTCCAGCTATGCATTTTTTAAACGGTCCCAAACACGATAACATATATACGATAATTCAAGCCACAATAATAATAATAATAATAATAATAATAATAATAATAATAATAATAATATTTTTAAATGTAAATCGGTATTATTTTGTCGTAGATATTATAACTGTATGCTGAAGATCAATATTATTAGCTTGAATTGTACGCACACGCAGGCGATGGCGGATAACAAATATTTACTTTCGCATTCGTTCGGAACTGCACACAGTTATTAATACCAATGCGCCAAACGAAAACGCGCAACAGAACCGGTTTCTATTAAAACCGGTAAGATAGATATTAAATAATAATGTTATTATTATTATTATTATTTTTTTTATGCATGGCCTACTAAAAACACAGGCGGCGGGTTGAATTTCTTTGGTATTTAAATGTTTCCACTATTCTCAGTCATCATATTATAGATATTGTAAACAGGTAATACACGAACGGGAGTACAATTACTACAATGGTTTTTATCAATTCGATTGATTAAAAATTAATGTACGCGTATACGTTTAAATTATGATACGCGTTGCTATAATCGCGTGCACATCGAGTTAATAGGGGATAGGCAAAAAAAAAATAGCAAACAAAATTAGACAAAGTGTACGTTTGAATCATATATTAGGTATGTTAAAAAAAAAAAGTCCTAGGATAATGGGGACGGATGTAGCTACTGTTATAGATAATTTAATGTACACCTGTAAGCAACGAACCATTGCTTACGAAAAAACGATTCTGAGCGCAGTTCAGTTGATAATGATGCATTGTCAACAATATATGTCATTTTATTGTAAAATAATTAAATAGGTTTTATACATTTTCTTTAATAATATTTGTTTAATGTTGTACCGATTTTCCCAGTTTTACTACGTTTTTCCCGTTTTTCCTCCTTTTTTTTTCGGTTTTTTAAATTTGATGAGAAAACTACTGAGGAAATCGAAAAATGAGCTCTCTAAAGTGAAATTGAAACCTACCTAGTGAAATTTCCTTTTAGAAAAATTGCTATCATTATAAGCTGGAGTAAAATTGCTGGTAAAAACTCTTGAGAAAATCAAAAAAAATGACGTGTTTATAGTACCTTCCCACATAGGTTTCTTTTCAGAAAAGGTGCTACACTTAAGAATCTGAGCATCTGAATCTGATAGTAAAATTGCGCAAAGATAAAAAAATAAAAAATAAACATCTTTGTGAAACTATAAGCTTCTTCGCTCCACTCAGAATCTAAAACCGATTTTATACGCTATAACAATTTAATCCAAATTGTGTTTATCGTTTAATTGTGTATACATTTATAATAAAATGAACATTTTTTTTAATCATCAAAAAGATTATTTTTTTAACATAAAATAATTATAATTTGGGTAACATATATGGTTTTAGCATCATTATTTTATCCCGAATTCGTTAACAACATGTTTTTTTTCTTTCGATTACAATTATTGTTCGAAAAAAATATCGAAATTAAATAATATTAATTTTTTTTTTAAACCGTGACATGTAGGCGTCCCGACATTTTTTTTCGGGACACCGGTACACTAAGTCAAAAACGAGCGACAGTCCCGGTTTTTCGGCACATATGCCAACCCTAAATATACGAGATTATACTATTTCGGAAAAATTACATTCGAGTAAAAGGATTCGGGAAAAATACTATTCGGGAAAAAGCCGGAAATCAGTCGCGATAGCGTTTATTTGTACTGCCCCATTGGTTTATCTGATGAAATGCGTCTATACACGTGAAATTAAATGGTCGGGAGGAGAGGAGAGGATGCAATCAGGCAAAGTACGGTTTCATTTTTTTCACGCGTACTTCCATTTCATTAACCCAGGAATGTTTTTACACATAGAAAGCGTATGTTTTTTATTTGTACAACACTACAACTGTTATAATATTATGGATCTGGGGAAAAAAAGTCAAAATATCGGAATGCATTTCAAAAAACTTTGTTCGCACATATGCTGCCCTCACAGAAAAATAATCAGTAGTTAAATTGTTAATTTCCTTACTTTTTGATCGCGTTTTTCCCAAACCAAAAGACCAAAGATCAACCTAAAGTTTTATTATTATTTTATTTTTTTTGCAGCACGATGTAATAGTGTTGGTAAGTAAGATATTTCATACTTTTTTTTTTTATCACGAAATTAATTATTCAATTTACGTAGTGTGTAGGCTGTAGAGGGTACGGGAGACGAATTGACCATCTGGGTACTGTAAAATTTTTTTTTTGTGATGAAGCGCTGATTTCTAAACTAAAACTACTGTCTGTCCATCCATCGTTTTTCTTTTTTCCTCTCAATTCAATTACAAATTTTCTCCAACTTTGTAAAACTTGAAAATTATTTTTAACATTTTAATAATCATTTTCCGCTATTATACTGTCTGATACCCGTTTAGGGGGGAACAGGAAAGTTCGTATTTATGGATATTTTCGCGAGAAAAATACACACACTTCGTAAAATGCTCCAATTTCAATATACCTAAGACAAACTATATTAAAAATTCCATAAATAGATGGAATATTAGTCAAAATAAATTTTATTGTTGACATGTCTGATTTTCGTCAATCTGTTGACGAGATATTCCACTTAAATGTTTGGTTTGGAGGAGAGTAGTGGTGCATTATTAACACGCCGCACAAATGATACTCCACAACTTTCCTCCAACCCAAAATTAAAAATGGAATATCTCGTCAACGGCTTGACAGAAATCAAAAATGTCAACACTAAAATGTATTTTAACTAATACTTCTATTTATGGACTTTTTACTATGAGTTGCTATTTGAAAATCAAAAGTAGGTAGTGGTTTTACTTCCAAAATTAAGGACAACAAAAAAATCATAAATATAAAAGTATAGACCTGCTTGTTTCTTAAATGTTCTATAAAATTAATTCCGAAAAAATTTAATTATTTCTGAGATTATGAGTGTACCCACTTAAATGGATCACCCGGTATTGGTTTTATTAGGTACTTTATACTAGCACCACAACTTGAACTATTTTCTTTTAAATTTCATTTAAAGTTCCATACTTGTGTACATAATAATATGTGATTTTTTTTTTGTAAACAACGTTTCTACCAATAATACTTCTCTAATCAAAAAATGTCTAGAAAAATATTTTGTTTAATTTTGATCTAGTTGGTACATTAGAGAAGTCGATTTTTAATTTTCCAAACGGTTTTCATAATAATTGGGTAAAATCAGAAAAAAAATATAGGATATATAAATATATATATAACGAACAAATATTTATCGTTTTGTAAATATTACAATAATAACTTGTTTAATTTAAATTTATTTTGAAATTCGTGTTGGAGTAAATATAACTTTTATAAGTTAAAACTGATGCATGATAATAATTTGTGCAATTTTAATTTATTTTTGAAACTTTAAAATAATATTCGGGAAATAATCAAATTTACTTACTATTAGAAAAAAAAACGACATTCGGGAAAAATGGACTAATGGTATTCGGGGAAAATTCTGTTCGAGAAAATTATATAATATAGTCTATTATGTAACGCATGCTTTTTTTTGTTCCGGAGCACAGTTTTTGGGACATAGTTAACATTATTGTAATTTTCAGTTTTTAACCGAGTTAATCCATCGATTTGAACTATATTTCTATAGTGAAGGTATAACATCATATTATATTAACCACACACCTATTAGGTGTTATAAAATATCGTATGAATAAATTATATTCCGTTACATTTACAATGTAAAGCCCATTGTTTTAAATTCATAGAGCCGATCTGATTATCTTTTTTTCCGTTTTTGTCCGCTTAAACCCATACAACCCCTTTGCGAATTATCTGCACTATATATAAAAAAAAACTATACATGTACTGGTTCGCATAAGACACAGTTTTTAATATTTTTAACAATGACCTAAATTTATTTAACCTAAAGTTGCGTTCCCTCCCTCCTTTTGAAATATAATTTAAGGACGTTGGGCGCCGTTTTATTTCCATATATTACTATATTTTACTGTGCGCTTTGTGTTTCTAATATAATCACTAGGTATGGTAAATTATATGTTCTCAATCATATCGAATATATCACCTAATCATAATATTTTTCTATGATTTATCGCTGCAGTGATATTTTAATCGGGAAATACAAAAACCGTATCGCCTGTTACAATTATTATGTTTTCATCGCTAAGAAACTCGCGTCAATTTAACCAGCTGCCGCACACAATCTGTTCGTAGTATATGAATTCATATTGTACGAAAATAATTCGATCAAAACCTAACCGTTATAGAATGCGTTTTTCGTGATGGTCGTGAGGTCGATGCAGTGATGTAGATGTACCGGGATGGAAGTCGGAGATGCCTCGAAGACTTGTCGCTCTTGCGGCGGCGGCAGCAGCAGTAGCAGGGTATGTACGTATATATAATATATACATATATATATGGAGATGTATATAGAGAAAAAGCGAGAGAGAAAATAAGAAAAGGACGGCGGAAGGGCGCCAGGGTAGTCGGGCGCGATGAGGCGTTGCAGTGAGGGGAAGGCAGCGGCAACGCCGGTTCAATACTCGGTAATCAAATTGTCGTGCACGGGGGCGCCGTGTCGGAGAGCTTAACTATTAACCCGCGCGGCGTCGGGCCGCTAAACAATAAACATGGCGACCGTGGTGTAGCCAGGCGGCGACGACCCGCGCGGTGCGCACGCGCCCGGTGCACTATTTCATCTCTAACTCTTTCCGGTTGGTCCCGGCCTTACACCGCCCCGGACACCCGGCCGCCCCGGAGGGGTGTGACAGTGTCGGCCGGCGACCAAGATTAAGCCTCTCCGGGTCGAACCTCAACCCCCGAGCCGAGCCACCCTCGGCCGCCGCCGCCGCCGCCGCCGCCGCCGCCGCTGCTACCGCCTGCAACCCGCCGCCACCGCCGTTGCCGTCGCCGTCGCTTGCCGCCGAACGCTACGGTTACGCCGCGCCGCGACTTTTACCGGCCGACGAGTTAAGCTCCGAGACCCGGGGCATAAGCCAAACGCGAACCGGATACGTCACTCGTATAATACGTACGTATACGCGCAACAATCTGATTTTTACGCCGCGGTGTTCACATTTGTTTTTGGACTTTTTTTTTTTCTTTTAGAAAACCGTGCCGCACGTTTCTCCGGTATATTTCGTAAAACATTGCCGCTAACGTTTTGGACATTTTCAACACAATATTTTATACCTAGTGGAATATCGACGGTATCTTGCCGCCAATAGTTACCGCCGCCCTGCAGTTTTATTGAAGGTAAGTGGTATTTTATTTTTTCCTTTTAAAAAACATATTATAATTACAATATCAAATAATATTCGGTATAACACAATAGTCGACAAATTTTCTTCAAAATTTTATCCGCGGTGAATTTTCGAATAATATTCTTATAGGCAATTTTTAATTAATTATTTTTTAAGGGCATAATTAAACAAAAAGAGATAAAAAGATAAAAAAAAAGGCGTGGGTGTGTATTTATAAATTATACAAATGAACATTCAATTTTATATTGATTTTTTTAAATAGTTGACGCTATTTACAATTAATATTTTTTAAATTTTTATATAAGTAATTAAGTTTTTACTGTTCAAAATTATTTAAACAAAATTTAACAAATGTTAACAAAATTATACATATATCTATAAATTAGAGAAAAAAAATATAATAATTTTAAATCGCTGTATAGAAAAATTTCTAAATTTATTTTCATTTTTTAGTTATATGATGAAGGTTTAAAATTACTTGAAAATTATAAATAAAACCGTTTTGTGTTTAATTTAATAATTATTGTATTATTATAATGTTTTGATTTTTCGAAAGAATATAATTTTTAAAATCAAAAAAATAAAAGGTTATTGAATCTACCATAATGAATATAATTATACTTTAATATTGTTATTATATGAATATTTATGCATTCTGTGATTTTTATTTTATGTAATTTTAACTTACCTTTTTTCAGAATCAATTAGATTTATTATTTTAGTTTTAGTTAAATTAATGTACAAAATTTCGGAATTCGATATAAAATATTATATAGGTAATTAAAAATATTATCTTATTAATAGTCCAATACTTTCGTATTTATATAATTAAGATTCATTATAAGCCCTTTAAATTATATTAATTTATTTTATTATAACCCCATAAAAACGATTTGTTGGTAAAAAATGTAAACAAAGTTATTTTATAAATCCTGTACTATTAAATATATTAATCATACGAAGAAATAAAGAACTAAATAATCATTCTAAATAAAATATGAATTTATTTATTAGTCTTAATTAATAAATGTCCTCAATGTGTTGAATGCAATATACAATAAAACATATAAATTAAATTATTAATATTTTAATCGAAACTGTAAGTTGCATCTAGTTTTATAATATGATTTGTTATTGATTTTGTGTACTTAATTAATGCCACCTGTAAAAGAAATCATTTTTTGAATTTTTCTATTCAGCACTTCCGAAAATTACTGTAAAGTGTGAAAAACTATCAAGAAATACAAAATACCAACAATTTTTGTATCTCTTTTTTCACGTTTGTTGGTTGTTAACTCTAAAGTTGGTGTTACAGTTTCCTTTTCCAATACTCCTTCCATGCTTCCTGTTACATCAGCTAATCTCTTTGGATCTGCATAACTTATTGCTAAAGTCCAGCATCAAAAATCACTTATTTTATGAATGTTGTTGGAGGGCTACCTCTAACTCTTAATTTTCCTTACATTTTTCTCTACATTATTTTGTTGACTGATTTAGTTTTCGAGTCTAAAAATGTACGTATGATCATTATTTATTTTACTTGTGTTACTTAATAAATAGTACATAATGGGAAAAATTAAAAATGTTTAGATAGTTATTTTCTATACTTGAAACAATATAGAAATTAAAATATTGTGAGTAGACGTTTGAAAATCAATATTTTGCATGCATTTGTGTTGAAGAGATTTAGGGAGTATAATAGGCATTCTGTTTAATTTTGAGTATGTAGGTATTTAGTCACTTTAAGTCTAGTTGTTTTTACGTTATCGTATTTTTTGAGATGATTGAATTACAATCATTACAAATTACACATTTCATATGCAGTATGTATTATTGTGTAAAATAAACCGACCATCAATGTAAAACCTCATAGGTCTATAAATCAATTAAATATCCCTCACATTATAAAATAATCAAAATTTTAAATATATTTTTAGGATTATCATTTTATTTATTATATAAATTGCCTACAGCAAAACTATTAACGAGATGAAATTCAAACGGCTTTATTGTACATACATATTTCAATTTGATACACACCTACAGTTTTTCTGAATCATTTTTTTGTCAAAATTTAGTTAGGCTGCAGACCCATTAATGCATTCAATTTTTTAAATTGGAAAGTATAGTTGATAGTATTATCTATTTCCAAAGTTTGTAATCAGTTGACAACTATAGTACCTATAAGGATTTTAAAACATTTATCATTTTAATCCAAAATCACTACAATAATAAAAAAAGAAAAAAAAAGATTTAATTTTATTGTTAAATAGATAATTTATTTGATTTTACAAAATCTTTTATTGAAAATTTAACTAAAAACTCAAATTTGTATAAATACAATTTCGTCAAAAATTCGTTTAAAAATTAATTCCAATTAATATTTATTATTATATAATAATGTAAAAAGGTTAATTTGAAATAATTTTATTTTTATAGTTAACTTATTATTATGCGGGACTTTGCATTCTTTCGGAAGTTAATATACTAATAAAATAAACATTTAATAAAAAAAAAAAAAAAACCCGTTTTTTTCATAACACGCCTATTCAGTTTCGCACGTGACCTAGCCTCTGGCCACAGAAACGACCCTAATTTTGAACGACATAACATATTGCGAAATAAAGGGATGTTTTCGAAAAACATAACAATACAAACATTATTGTTTTTATACGTACATTGATTTTAGTTTATTGAATATGAATACGTAAAAACTAAAAATGAACTGTAATCTGTAATCTTTATTTTGTGCTGATGGTGTTTTTTTCTGTTTATAAATTATTTACCTACTTAAGAATATAACCAATAGGTAATTGTAATTTTGGTTTCAGACTGAACAATGAATTTAACGACGACCGATGCGGATCGCTCATTCATTTCAATCCAACAATCTGCCCAGCCAATTTTCTCATTGGCAGACCCAAGGATGGGTAGTTTGCATTTGAATAACGACGGTGACAACAGAGGTATCTATATGTTATTGTTAGAGTCAAACATTCACAGGTTGATTATTTTAATTAAATATAGTGTTATATTAATTAAATAAATAAGTTCAATAAAACTAAATACTATACTTATTTACACATAATTTACTTCAATTTATATCAATACGAAATTCTATTTGAAACAGAAACGTTTCATCCGAAGTAAAAGATAATATAATTTTTTTATGACACTATGAATAATACGTTAAAACATGTCTATTATCAATATATTTTAGTACTAAAACTAGTATATTAAGATATTATAATTAATCTATTAATTATAATATATAAATATATTATTTTTAATGTATATATTATTTATTTATTAGTTCAGTCCATTTTCACTTTTTTTTTTTTTATATATATACTTGTTAGTATTCGACAATATGTGGAGTGAGTATTATATCCTAAATTGAAAATACGATTAATATTATATAAAAGCTATTTTTTATAACTTTATAGTTTAAATTCAATTAAAATGCATACAGTGTGTATACAAACATAAAATTTACATTTTACAGTTTATCAATTATCTGCAGTCTGATTTATTCGTTGAAAAAAATACACAAATATACAATACTATATACTATGTATACTGTAACTGTACTCGGTAAGGCGGTAATTAATAATAACGAATATAAAAAAAAAAAAAATCAAACTCAACTCGATGTAATAAAAATATAAGAAAGAAAAGGGCCGCCGACTGTTTGTGAACACAGTGAGGCTAATCTGCGTTACTCATTGTTAAACAAGAGTAATGCAGACGGCAGAAGAAACTTTAAATAGCGACGGAAGATTGGAATAAATGAGTGTTGGGGCCCACGGTGTATTCCCCTGGAGCTTAAAAACCCCCTTCGGCGGCGGCGGCGGCGGCGGTGGCCGTGCACAGTTATATAATATGGGACGGGGGAAGAGGAATAAATCTGTTGCTAAATGGGAATACTACCCGTCCTGCAGGCGCATCGTGGTATCGCGCCCCTCGCTCGCCGAAGTCAAGACCTTAGCGCGCGCGTCAGAGACAGGAGGAAAAAAAAAAATACCATTTCCCTCTGAATATAGTTTTGCAATTTGTCTGATTTCATTAGCATTTCTATAACAGAATACTGTAACGCTGCAGCGCGCGGACGAGGGTGACGAAAAAAAAAATCCCCCTACCTCGTCATCGTCGTTGCGCAGCGCCACCGTACTTACCCAATTTCCGTATATTTATTCAATCAGACACACGACCAACAATTCCGGCCACTTATAATATAAGAGTTTTATTCTGTTTAGTTTTTTTTTTTTTTTTTTTAACACAGGTATATACAAACAATTTACTTTTTTCTAAAGATTATATTTTTTTTTTTTATACCGTAATGGGCACATCATTCTTTATAATATTACTGTACGTAACTCTTTCTTTACCTATATATAACAATACATTTGAATGACACTCCTTGATTATCGAAAAAACGTCGGTAATCCATATTGACACCCCATCGATTCTGCATCAATCGTATTTTTGGAAAAAAAAATATATCACGATTTAATTTATCAAATAAATGTATTTGACATTTGTTACAATGTCTGTTTTTTTTGTTTTTCTTTTTTTTAACTGACGTTTAAAAACTACATCACGCTCCGCGCAATGAACATCAAATTAAAGAAAATACAATTTTTTTAAATTTTTAAATTTATCATTATTTTTTTGTAAACGTTTTTATACGAACATAAAAATACACGATTTATCTATTAAATATAAGACAAAAAATGTTACATGTTTATCACATTTCCAAAATATTTTGCCTTTACTAGATCGTTGTGCCAGGAGAATTGAGATAGGTTCTACAGTATTTTGAGACTCTTATATTATTATGCACAGTTCTGGAGTCCAATGGATCGTCGAATCTCTGTAACCTAACCTATAACCTAACCTAACTGCAGTGAAAAACTCGAGGTTATTTTTCGACATTTGTCACGAATACTTCAAATTCCAACGCTAACGCTTCCTCGCTTAAAAGTTTCGTTTTTATTGATTGGTAAACGGAGGCCAATATTCACATTTTGTCTTGTATGAAATTGTAAAGAGTCAAGTTAATGTTCTCGTTCTTTGTTTCCCCGAGTGCTTAAGCACTTATTATTTTAAATTCAATGTAATAAACTCCAAGTACGTTTTTTTTTTTTTTTATTTGTCTGTTAATATGGTTTTGATCAAAAATCTGCTACAATCGAAAATCACATCAAGAGAGGATTCTGAAAGCATTTTTGATTTAGTTGATTAATTTTTTTAGAATTCTTCGTGATTACAAGTTTTTTTTAAAATTTATATGGAAATATACTGACAACCAAACCATACACCAGTGTTGTGTAAAAACTATCTCAAGTTTTAACACGTTAAGTGCTGAGGGTTTTTCGACATACTTTATTTTGAATTACTTTTATTATAAGATCCAATATTGAATCTCTTCAAAAATTTAAACAAAAGTGAGTAGGTAGTGAGAACCTTGTTTGAGTCTGATTTCAGATTTTTCATAATTGGGTAACATTTATTGGTCTTTTTCGTCGAATTCAAATAATACTGTGTTACCATTTTTTTTTTTTATATTCGTATCAATGGAATAAATTATTTACTTTTTTGGTATAAATTTTTGAACACTCTAAAACATTTGTGCCATTTTTGTCCAAAATTAATATAAGTAACCCGTGTTAAAAACCCCATAGCACTTTACTTAGAGGTAAGTGAGATCAAAATTCTGGGTTCATGGCAACGTGTTCAATCGTCTCTATCAAAACCATCCTCTATTGTTATTCCCTGAGTGAATTTTTGTTTAAATCGTCTTTAACACTGTTTTCTCTGAAACGCGCAGTCTAGGGTTTTTTCCAATTTATCTTCCCTACCGAGGAATCCTTTAAAAAGCTATTAGACCTCCAAGCATAGCCTGTCCACTCGAATCGTTGGCTCATAAAATGTAAGCATTAATACCGGGTTTTCGGATCTTCTTCTGAATACACTCCGCATTTTATAAAAACATGTTTTCTTACATAACCTTCTTTCGAAACGAGACATTTCTTTTGCTCTACACTTACAAATATTGTTATTCGGTGGAACATTATATTATTGTTCAGGGTTTTTGGCGCTCGCGATATCGGACAGTGCGGCGGGTAAAAAAATGACTTTTAAAGTTGTGCGCGCTCGCTCGGTGTGTATAAGCGACGGTTCATTCGGTGCCCGGGATGGTCCGCCAGATGTGCCCGCAAAACAGCTCTTCCTCCCCCCGCGAAGCCGGCGTTAAGCCCCGGCTGGTTTTCCGGACGCGCACGCCCCCATGGGGATAATCAATCGACGCGCTCGTCCGTCCGTCCGTTCGCTGCGGTAGCCGTCGGAATATTATTATATATACCTACACGCGCTGGTTGCTCTGCGCACAGCTCAAATAAGCCGAATTTAATGATTCCCCGTGTCCGTGCTGCGCCCACTTCATAATAGTATTATAAAATATTTTATTATAAACCGTATAACGTATATGAATTGTGCTATAACAATATAACAATGTCAAAAGTAACTATCCGTGGACCAATAATACGTATACCTATTCAATGTTATTTGCACATTTTTACAGTTAAGATTTTTTTTTACAAGTATTGTAACAAATTATGGACATTAAATCAATGTAATAAGTTGCAGATTCCAACAGTCAAAGTTTGCTTTTAAAAGAAAATGAACCTCTATTTACTTACAGGAATATATTATTAGGCATACAATTTAGAATGACCTACTAAGGGTTTGTTTGGAGATTAGCACTTGATGGGCGTGAATTGTGGACAACAAGGAAGGCTAAAAATAAACTATTCGCATTTTAGGCATAGACATAATACTTAAAATAATATTGGTAGATCATATGCCAAATGAAAAAATCTAATAAAAGAAGTATCATTAAAACCCTGAAGATTAGCAGAACTTAACTATTTGGACATGCACTTCGTCACAATAATCTTTACTAGGAAATTTTTCTTAAATAGGGAAAATAGTCGTGGAAGGCTACCACTTGAATAATATGCAACTTGAATGTATTTAAAGTAGTTAATGGTATAGGTTGCGAGACATATCAGGAATTTAAAGGAAAACGGAGAAGCTTTGTTGTAGATCATTTTTCCCCATTTCGTTACATTCAATATCTTTAGATCTTGCCGTATTCCATCCATTCGACGTTTCTTTGACCATCCTCTAGGTCTGTTTTTTTTCTGATTACCATTCAATTATTGCTCTGATTTCGTTTGTTGCTTGTATTTACTTTACGCGTCCAATTAATAAAAATTAGAAAACGTTTCGCATTAAAATTTGGGGTTTTCGTAACAAATTCATGGTTACCATATCAGTTCTTAGAAAGAACGATGTATTCAGTGAGAACACAGTATAAGACATTGCGCAATATTTTGGAAATATAATAAATAGATAATTACATTTAATTATATTATATTTTTAATGTTCATATCACTTCATGAAGATACAAACATTGTCAAAAAAATATTTTTACTTGAACTTAAATGTATAAATCAAATCGTGAAATAGTTTTTTTAAGTGAATTTTTTTCGGTTATAGTGAAAATGCTCGAAACATTTCAAACTTAAAATAATTTGATTTTCTTTTCGGTGGTACTTTATTTGAAACATTTGTTTATTTTCCAAGTTGTTTATGTTGTACCATCTTCACAATTGAATTTTGCACTTTGAATAGAATGATTTTATTTGAGATTCAGAGTGGAGCAAGAAAAGTTGTATTAGTTTTGCTATGATGTGTGTCGTGTGCACATGTTTTTTCTTCCTATTTTGTTAGCACGGTTCGGCCATTGGAAGTACATTCGATAGATAATTTGTTTAGGAAATTCCAAGTAGTGTTTTTTAATACTAGATAAAATCGTACAAAAAGACGTCCTAGGATAATGGAGACGGATGCAGCCACTGTTATAGGTAATTTAACGTATACCTGTAAGCAACAATAAACCATTTCTTATGAACAAACGATTCTGAACGGAGTGATAGTGATGCTTTATGTACAATATATAAGCTATATTAAAGTAAAATAATTAAATAGGCTTTATGTATTTTCTTTAATAATATTTGTTTAATGTTGTACTGATTTTCCCAGTTTTCCCCAGTTTTTCACATTTGCTTGGGAAAATCCTGGGAAAATCGAAAAATTGCCTCTCTAAAATACCTCCCCAGTGAAATTTTCTTTTAGAAACATCGCTATTATTATAAGTTAGAGGAAAACTGCCGGTAAAATGTTGTCCACATGAAAAAAGAAGGCCATAATATTTTTAGCTAATATCTGCATTTTTTACATTTTCCCGTTTTATTTCGGTTTTTCACATTTGTTGAAAAAACTCTGGATAAAATCGATGAACGACCTTTCTAAAGTACCTAAAGTACTTTTGGGTAGTCTATAAGTATGCACATGAATTGGTTCCAATGAAATGTCATTTTAATAATTATAACAGAAGAAAAATACCAACAACAATTTCCATCCCATTTTACACAGACTTAGGACAGTCTAGAAAACCAAATAGAAATCCAGCGTTAAGGTGATTACAGACATTAAATAAAAAAAGGTATTTAGACCAATAAGTTTGACAAAACTGTAGAGTTTTGATTTGGCGGATTTTGTTTGTTTAACAAGTTAACTGGGTTTTACGATATTTACATCTTATGTGTTAGTTATACCAATTTCTACGTACGAGAACCAATCAAAACCGTTTTCTAGTGCTCTGTAGTTATTGTCGGAAACCAATTCCGTAGTTCTCACAATTGTACGCTAAACCGTTTTAACTGCACTGAACTGAGTGAATCGAACTAGTTTATTATACTCAATACGTATGAATAAGTATGGATCTTGTGAACGATCTAGATCATACGATTAATTTTATCTGAAATTTGATAATAATTGTTATAGACGCGGATTCTAGTTATTCCATGAGAGACAGACCACTATCGCTTTGTATGTCGGCCGCATGTGCCGCACAACAGGTACCGGTGTCCGCTTCAAGAACCCCTCCAACTTCGGGCCCCACGACTGTGGGACATTATGCGGCGGCGGCCGCCGGAAGCCAAGCTGTGGCCAAAACCAAAACATTGGGACTGACGTGCGTCGTATGCGGCGACACTTCAAGCGGAAAACACTACGGCATACTTGCGTGCAACGGCTGTAGTGGATTCTTCAAGAGAAGTGTCCGTCGCAAACTTATCTACAGGTCAGTAGTATAATTCGTTTGTCCTGGGTGGTAAGAAGATCTAAGGTAATTTTTTTTTAAAAATTTTGTCTTGTCATTTTTTCATCTAAATGGCATACATGTTCGTTTATTCTAACAGGCGTATTGGAGATATTGAAAATTAAAATATCACAAGTAACTTTAATGTACTTTTTGTTTGGCAAAGAAGACATAAGTTGTATAATTATATAACTCAACCCATTTATGTTGGGTCATCTAGCGATTTAGCAATATTATGCTATTGCTATTGTTATTGCTAAATATTTAGCAATTTTTGAAGTTTAATTTAATTTTGAAAATTATACAAAGTATTGACACTTGCCTTTCTTCCATGGACCAAGGAATTAATAAAGTAATCCAGGGGAGGATTGTTCAAAATCATTCTCAGTTCCTTTAGTCGTATTGTACATATATACACCAAAATATTATTCAATTTTTTTTATTTTTCGGAATTTTTATATTTTTTTCATACGTTAAATACAATTTAGATAGGGTTAGGGCAGGTCAGTGATTAATACAACTATATAATAATAATGAATATACATTGTGCATAAAATATGTATTTGTTCTTATTCATTATTTTTATTTTTACCAATAGATCTGCTGATCCCTTTAATATATTTGATGGGGTAGTGCTGATAGTATAAAAGCATATACGTACACGCAAATGTAATTTTATATTGATTAACTGGTCTTTTATAATATTTTTGGAAAAAAAAAAAAATGTAACGTTTGAATAATATATAAATATTATAAATGACAACAATTATTTTGAATTTTTGGAGAATATATTATTGTTGGAGAAGAATACAAGTAATAAAAATCGGATAACCACGTACGACTTCATAAAATACGCACACATTGTTCATATGAACAGGAAATTTATTGTAATAATAATATATTCTCTTCGATATTGGCATTTAATACAAACCGAATAATATGAATAACAAAAACTGATTTGACCCTATTTCATATTTTTATAATAATATTATGTCATGAGGGGTTTCGGAAGAATAATACAATCAATTCAAACATGTGTTTACTCTTAATTCAACAATACAAATAAATATTCAAAAAGCGTGTACGTTTTTCGGATGGAAATTCGAAACATCGGATCCGTGTGATGTTCGTAGGTGTATAGAATTATGTTTGTATAGGAATATTATTTGCGTATATGGGTTAAACTCAGAACCGGCGTGAGAGTAAGGCGACTCAGGCGATCGCCTAGGGAACTATTCTGGGGGAGGAGGAGCCAAAATTGCTTTTTAAAATTGTACACATTTTTGTCAATAATATTATTTTTTGAAAATATAAAATACTTATAACTTAGTACTGAAATATTGATAACTATAGTTATTTCGTTTAGCCATAGATTAAAATAATATAAGATTATTTTAAGTATATTCACTATGGTTAAGCATAGAATGATTATCGTATATTACAGGGGTGGCCACTAACCTTAATTTTGGGAACCACAAATGTATAAAGCTAATTCGAAGCGAGTCACATTGTAAAGCGACGTTTATAAAATGACACGTTTTTCATATTTAATCAAATGAAGGAGCATTTATTTTTTACATTACACAAAACATTATTGTTATTGAAATTATTATTAATATTATTGTTGTTTTTCTTATGAGAAAGCCTTTTTCCAATGTTTATTTTTTCTGTAAGTTTTTTGAAATCTGGCCGATAATTTGTAAGAGCAGTTCGCACAAGTTCACTTAAATGTTTATCAGTTAGTTCAGATCGATATTTAGATTTAATGAATTTAATGAACTTAATTGGCCACCGTGCCAATCTATAATAACGACTGTAATGATAACAAAACCAACGGCAATAAAAACACTATCTAACGATTCTAACAGAATTATATATTTATTAATTTTAGTCTAAGATTAGTTCAAGAGCACCGCGAAACTGATTTAAGAGCCGCATGCGGTTCGCGATCCTCGTTGTGATCACCCCTGGTGTATATTATGTTGCTCTATAATTATAAAAATTGCCGAATATTTGTGATCGGTTTAATCGGGATCACGTCGCACTATCGTGACTGCGTCGCTGTCACTTATCTTAGCTGGTGGTAAGCGGAGTTTCTCGAAATTAAAACTTATACAAATTAAAAACATACGTGCGATCTACTATGACTAATGAACGTTTGGTCTCATTGTCGATTTTATCTATAGAAAACGAAATGACTACAAGAATTGATTTTTCTACAGTTATATAAAGATAGTTTTGCGGAGAGGAAACCGAGAAAAGTGTTGATCGATAGCAAATAAATAAGCATTCTTGACCAAAGTTTGAAATACATTAAAAAGTTTTTTTTTCATAATTCAATTTTTAGGCAACTTTTAAGTAATAGCGTATTTTTGTTATATATATATATTTTTTTTTTTTTTGGTTCCTAATCGTTTTTTAATCTTGAGACTTTGAAGTCCCATCGGTCATCTACGGTTTGGAGTGTCTGGACTCAAAAGTCCCGTCAGCCATGTAGCACTTTTTTTTTTTTAAATATATGCAATGTAAAAATTAAGGATATAATTAAGGAATTTTATTAAATAATTAATTAAAAATACTAAAATACAAAAATTAACAATTCTTTAAAATAGTTAAATGGCTTATGTTGCAATGTGCACACTTAAAGTGAGGCAGCGATTCGGTTGTATTAGTACTGCAAACCTCTCATCCTGCATTTTTTTTTTAACAAAAATTAACCAGTATACTCCTCTATGTCCAGTTATTATATCCTTTAAGGCAGAAAATTCAGTTTTTCTTCTTTTATTGCTTTTTTTGTTTGTGAGCGCTGAAGAGTTTCTAGTTTTTGGTAATTGTACCATTATCAATGCATCATAATCTGATATTAAATCAGTATTATCTGGAATTTCTTCTAGATATTTTTCAATATCGTCGATATTTAGATTAATCATTTTCTAAAATAAATTATAAAATCTTAAAAAAATGTAGGTACCTATAAATATATATATATATATATATATATATATGTGTGTATTTAGGTGCCTATAAATATATGTAAAACCATTTTAGACTGATGGCCACTTCAATAACGTAATGTATAATCAACTGAAGACAACTTTATTGCTAAGAGTTACTTAATTATATAGTAAACATGATATATATTCATAATATTGTAAAATTTGCTTGCTTACCTTAAAAAATCTTGCCAATTATACGCTATTAAAAAAGTGAACACACAAAATCACAAGACACAAAACAGTGGTAATAAAAAGTTGATATAATCTATTGAAAATAAATGTTTCTTCGTGCATATTTTATACAATGTATATTGAACTGCAGTCTCCTCAGTCATTATCAGGACCAAAACTATTTCCTATGACTTAATATAATTTTTTTTTTCAGAACTTAAAAGTCCCGTCAGTCATATTTTATTTTATATTATGTTATGTTTTTACTATGTTCTATTGTACACTCCATCTCAATTTATTATTAAATTATAACCATTTTTACATTCTTTATTTTTATTATTAGTATGTAGGTAACTAGGTATTTATATGTGACTATACTACCTATTGCATTATATTTCGTCATAATCATATGTTATTTTAATTATTTTTAAATTAGACGACAACAAATAATGTACAAGTTGAGCATAATATATAATTTTTGTTGTAATTTGTGTTTTTTTTTTTGTTGGATGAAAAAGGTGCCAGTTGATATTTTGGCTTTGGGCGTTATTTAGCCTTGTGCCGGCCCTGGTTATACTTATTAATTATTCGTCATAGAATTCGTAATAGTTAAATATTTTAAGGGGATTGGGTGGGTACCGATAATTTTTACTTTCTCCAACACATACTCTGTATAACAATTTAGACCATTTTATGACAATCAGTCCAATCGATGTTGTGAAGCGTTGAGAATCTTGAAAATAAGTTTGAATTCAGCATAACGTATATATGATACTGATCTGAACACTTTTCAATTTAATTTTAGGATTTATTTTTTATACTTTCTATTCGCTTTAAAATCTTGAAATCATATGTTTAAGGATTTCGAAAAATTGTACTGGACGGATTGCATATATCTACACTTCACACTGAATCAAAATCTGTTAAAGAATTCTTAATCTGCTTCACTACATCGATTGGACTGATTTATGGAAAATTGGCTTTTTTAAGGTTTATAAAACAAATTTTTTTTCCGATTATAAGCCACTGTATCTGTCCGCCTATACTATAGGTAGACATATTTTGAACCTATAAGCCGTATAGGTTCAAAATGTCATAATATCTATTACATAAAATCTATACATAAAGAGCGATTTTGTAAAAAATATTTGATTATTCATTAAAATAATTTCGCATTTTTACTAAACGAAAAAGTGCATCTCGTCCTACTTTGACAGAATTTAAAATTATACGGTTATCTAACCGTATACCTATTATCTAACCCATATAATATAATATAAAAAAAGTGAGCTTGTACATTTATTTAAAAAAAAAAACCCCTCTTTAAATCCATGTAAAATAAGTTTAAATTTTGTTTTCCCCCCTCTGAAAACATTTATATGTATTACGTATATACAATAAAATATAATATTATTATTTTACACGATATATCGTGTATGTATATAATATAATATAAGCGACAGTAGTCTGGTATATACGATGCATTTACGAAATCCTCTTGAAATCACGTAGGCAAGTATTATTATTATTTTCTCTCCCGAGCGACCTGCTGCAGTATAAATGTTTCCCCTTTCGTGCAATAGTATTCGGAAGCCCATAAAAATCCAATGTCGTTTTCCGCGTTTCCGAATAGCCTATACTTCTATACGAATATTATGGTGATTTTCTATACTATTATATCATACACATGTTACAAGCGTGGTGTAGATGTATACCTTACTCATATATATGTATGTACTATGTATATTTATACACACGGTTCTACAACAATAATACGATTACTTTGACTAAACGACAACGACGACGACGTGTATTGCCGGTGAACACATAATACTAAAGTAGAATAGCTGCAGTATTGACGATAGAAATGTGGAAACGTAATAGAAATGTGGAGTTGGAAAAGATTACTTCGTATCAATTGGACCGAAGGGAAGAACTATATGTAAAAATGTTCCAAATATTAGGGGAGAAAAGCGAGTATTGCTATCTATAATAAATTATATCAAATAGCGCGAAATTTTGTGGGACACTTTATAACCTCTTCGTAATAGGTAATACAACGAAAGAGAGAATCGACGAATGTTAAGAAATAGGAATATACCGAAGAAAACCTTTATGGGAAAGATGATTTAAATGGCTGGACTCAACGGCCGGTATTGACGTATGGATACGCTGCAGGCATTAAAGAGAGAGGAATATTATGGAGGTCAATATTTGCTAGAAGGCCAAGAGCCTTTAGTAAAATAAGAGAAAAGAGACATTTGCGATCACATTCGTTTGAAGCTACTGTGACTGTGTATAATAATAATAATAATAATAATAATATGTAGGTGGGTATTATACGACTACGAGGAATCGTTTTTTCTCGGGTTTTTTTTTTTTTCAATTTCGTGTCTCCTAATACTCTTGAACGGTTATAAATAAATGTGATTCAGTAGCGAAAGAGGGTTTGACGTTTTATAACAGCTCCTCGGCGGATTACTGTATATTATATATATATATCTCGCGGGGACGAAGAGTCTGCTGGGGTGCAGAGGTGTGTGTATATATATAGTTTAGAAAGCCGAGCAAAAAGATTCAATTATATATCTCTAACGTAATACCACGAGCACGCCGCCTTTGCCGCCGGGCCGGCCAAAAGCCTTATCCATCCATTCCTCCTTTCTCCGTTCATTTCCCTCTCCTCCCCCCCTCTCCGACTCGTGTCTTTTTCTCCGTCTGCTCTTCCGTCCCCGGGCCGCGAGAGCTCTTTTTCGTGTTGCCGCGCGTATTACAACTGCAAACTATACACGCCGCGCGTTTTCTTCTTGCCGGGAAATCGATCGCGCTTTTCCCATTCGCAATATATACGGGTACTTTTTGATTGGTTTTCGACGACGAGAACGTTATATATGTAATAAGTCCTCTCGTCCTCTTTCAACACTGCACCAGGTGGACCAGGTGCAGCGTTCTCGCGACCTGCATTCCTCCAGCCACGCGCCGCGGTGCGAGATAAAAAATAAAAAACCTAAGTTAAGGCCGGGTTAGCGTGTTTTATATGGGTACCTTTTTTATTTTTTTTTTTCAAAGCCTGCGTCATCGTCCGTCGATTCTCGAATTTATTCTACATGGAAGTTTGACTGTTTATTTTTTTTTATATAAAACTAAACCTACTCAACCTGCTGCAGTTAACCACCAGTCCTATCCCGGTCGCAAAGATTTTTACCTCGTCTAATTTATAATAACATACCCCTGAAACATTGCAATATTATCCTGTCCACGGACCGCGCGGTTTATAGAATATCGAACGTAAGGGAACATAATAATTTCGATTTTTTTTTATTTTTATTTGTTAGAAAACCCATTGCTTTTTCAAATAGTCGCTGTGCGAGTTTTAATTATTATTGCCGACGACGTTTTATTGTGTCCATACAATTTGAACGATATGTTACAGCGATATAATTCGCGCGCTGCTGCGAAGTGCTAGGATTTCATTTGCTCGGAGCGCGGGTGTATAATAATATATTCCTGCGTATAATTTGGTGGCAAATTTAAATCAAATTATAACGAAAAGGGTCCGTGCGGCGGAATTAAAACGACGGTAAACTTATAATGCTGGGCCGTCGAGGATTTCCGCGCGCGCCGCTCTTTGACCGTGACCCGCTAACAGGTTTACACTTGTGACGGCCGAACGATTACCTTCCGCGGCGATTTGGACCGCGGCGAGCGATACACAGTAATAATAATATAATTTCCACCCTTCGTCCGCGTGCGCGGAAACGCATCGCCACCCCTCGCACGCGTTATTAGTGCAAATCCCATAGCCACAATAGCCGCTGCAGAGTCGGCGGCGGCAGAAAGACGCATTAACGATAAATTGATTTGTTTAAAGAGTATATGTAGGTACCCCTCTCCATCGCCCCATGCTGTTATTCGTCCTGCGCGTGTTCGGCGTACGGTACGTACTTATCCTGCACATACACACTCAATTCGATAGACGGAATTAAATCTCGGACCCGATCGCGCCCCTGGGACTGTATAGCCGCCACCACCACCACCGCCACTACCGCCGCCACCGCGCCGCCCTTCCCGTCCGGCGCGGTACGTACTGCACGGACGAAGGGTCAAAATATAGTCGTTCGTCCGACAGCCGACGATTTTTTTTATTATTTTTTTAAACTCGGCAATTTATTTTGTTTTTATTTTTATAGAATTCCCGTGTATGCGAAAGGCGAGCAAAACATTTCAGATTCCGCAGAGGTTATCGATATGAATGTACTCGTATAATATTGGTTTCGCGGTAGCGTGTGATTTATGTTTTCTGCCTTAATGTTTGCAGTTAGCAGCTTTTCCACCAGATATCTTACTCCGATTTACGTCAATTTCAAGGTTGATTTCTGGTAGAAAATGTTGTCTATAGTTTGTGTATTGCGGTGGAGGTCATTTGTTTTAAATTTCCTTTGTAGTTTTCTTGATAACCGGACAAAAAAACTGGAATATTTACCTAATAGCGGTGTTATTTTCGATTTTGTCTCACGGACTGTACAATTTTTACCGATTACTCTGATTAGCTCTTTTTAGATGTGGTAATAAAATTATTAAAATATTCTGGAAATAAAACGAAATCTTTATTCTACACATTTCTGTTTTTTCTTCCATTTTTTGGGTTGTTTTTTAAAGGTATCAACTACTGTTAAAAGACAACATTTGTGTCATAAAATTGTTTCCTCATTTATTTCAATAATTTTGGTAATGGTCCAATACGTGAACTACATCATCAGTATAATGTACAATTAAATTTAACTAGCCTTTAAGTTAATTTTAATGAAAAAAAAAAAGATTTATTTCACTTCCCAGTATCGTCAATAGCTATTTGTTGAATTGATTTAATCAATATTGCTGTGAACGTATTTTTTTAATGTCAGCCTAAAAATCATCATAAATATTTTTTGGATTTCGACATGATCTCTACACTACTCTTCTTGGAGTTATCTGTATGGTAAAAGACACTCACTATTTTTTAAATATTTGATAATTTTTAAGTGAAATGGAAATTGTTTAATGTAGTTATTTTATAAACAATTTTAGTTGAATTTATGTGCACAATGTACATATATGTACTTATACAGTTGTATACTAGCCCATTAACTAGATATTTTCAAGTTCGGTTAACGCAGTCAAATATTTGACTGCGTTATTATTATCGAGTATAGATAAAATATATTTTACATTCCATTTTTAGTGTATTTTTACCATGGTTTAAGATACCCATAATATTATCTTAAACCGTGTTTTCTACTCGTTTAAGAAACTCGCGTATACCTATTTAAAATATATCAATATATGTATCATATATATTATATACCTATTCAATAGCATACGAATTGGGACAGTGTCTTTGATACAAATATTTAAAATACGCGTGTCTTATAGATTTAATTGTATTCTGTATCGCGATACAGTTCTGGAAAGTATCGTGTATCTTGTACAACTGAAACTAATGTACATTTTACCTACATTAATATTCATTTTAAAGTATATCTTGTTCATGTAGGAACTTAAAGAGAGGAGCAAACTGGGTCATTTTCCATAGTGTTAATTGTTAAGAAAACGGGATGAATTATTGGGAATTTCGATAAAATGTTTCAATTAAATAACCGTTTCACTTTTAAGACACTGTACGCGTGAAATATTGGATTGATAATAAAATGAAGTTAATGTTTCAATTTTAACGTATCGATAAAATTCAGTATTTAAATACATAAAATGTAAGTGTATCGAGTATCTTGAATTGCAATACTTGTTGGTTGTTGCAAAGGTCGTAGGGGTCCCTACTGTACAGTCTCTAGTGTACTCATTTTGAAATATTTTGCCCATCCCTAATGGTATTATGCTATACATAACAATAATAGCAATAATGATAGTATGACACATAATAAAGTGAACGAGACGTCGTCGTCTCTGTAGTGGTTCTCGGCCCGATTGGATTATAGTCGTCGAGCTGCAGGTTAAAATATCAAATATAGTTTTGCGCGTGCGTTGGGAAAATAGGGGGCGTGCAGTGATGGGTGTTTCTCCGCGGCCATTGTCGACCGTTTGAAAAATGTCTTAGTAGAAAATATATATTCGTAAGAATACACAAAAACCACGGTACATAAGACGTACGTCAGGAGTAAACTGCAAGGACTATTTCTGACTATAATATAATATATATACAAGCCGAAGAAGCATTTTAGCGTTAAGATTTTTACTTCAAAGCTTTTGAAACTTTTGGCTTTAAACAGTCGTCTGTAAAGACATATAATATTGATTAACGAACAACAATAAATAATGAAACGGTAAAATGAAAATGTGTATACAATATTTTATATACGTTAAATAAGATAGATACGACGTAACAACATATTGTAACACAATAATAAAAATATGCCAGTGTTCGAAAAAATATCGCGATTTTTGTGTTGAAACGCTCAATCTCTAAAAGTATTGTGAATCGTTTCGATTTTTATCGTTAAATTTTATCTTCTGTCAAATATGTATAATTTTTCTGGCCTCTAATAAGCGAAAAGTCCTAGAATGAATACCTTTCTATATTAAATAATTTTTGTCATGTAAACAGTAAAATTATAATATAATGTACTAAATTTATTTTCTAACTTACATTATAGGTGTCAAGCGGGTACGGGAAGTTGTATTGTCGACAAGGCTCATCGAAACCAATGTCAGGCGTGCAGACTAAAGAAATGTCTCAATATGGGCATGAACAAAGACGGTAAGCGATTTATTTATGAGGTAACTTTATATGATATCTTCGTTTTAAATTCTGAACGAAGTGTATTACTGTAAAGTTTTTGGTTGTTTTTTTTTTTTTTTTGTAAACAACCAGACATTTTGTTCCAATCATAAATGTGTGACACTATAGGCATCTTTTCTAAAATCACATTTGTGTCTAATCGGTGCACTTAGAATAAGATGATTTTATTTTTATTTTTCTTGTAGTTTTCTAAATATTTGGAGGTAAAAAAGTGAAAACGATTTTTTGTATTTCGATATTCGAATAACCACAAAGACCTAAAATGTTCACGTAATACTTATATCAAACAACCTTTTCTAGACATGGTAACATTTTTAAAACATTCTGACGATTTTTGAGCTCTATGTATAGCAAATAGAAATTGTCGTGTTTTTTTATTTATTATTCAATGTTATGATATGAATAAAATTATTTTGGCTCAGAAAAAATGCTAGTAAATTTCAATAAAAATCGCAAAAATCATGATACGAGTATTTATCAAAACATGATGTTTTGCTCAAAATCTGTTTTCGTTACCAACAGGTGCGTTGGTTTTACGGGTGGTTCCTTCTCTGTATAGTCCCTTAATTTATATACGTTATCAGTTTAAATGAGTCCCGTTTAATTATTTTTTAGATCTAGATATACGAATAAAAAAAAATAACCCTCTTTACCAACGATATATCAATTACGTATACACGTTGATTAAATTACTCAATTATAATATATCCTTATAGGCCCCCTTCCCAACTTTTTTCGAACATATATATTTCATCTGCGAAAAAACAAAATAAGAAGTATAGCTAAAAACGATGACGAGATCTAATAACATAATATATTATACAGTCAAGTACAAGTATTCAATGTAATACTTATTTTTTTCAAAAAATGACTTGTACACAATTTTTTTGAAACTACATACTCTAAAATGATACGTTTTTTTTATTTTTAAGATTGAAACGATTACCTGTTTTTGATTTTCAAACGGCAAACTATATTGAAAACTAATGGAGCGTCATTTGCTGTGTGTAGTCTTCTAATAATGGAGTTTTTAAATATAGGTTGCTATTTAAAAATCAAAAATATAGGTGGTCGATTCACCAACCCCTCCACAAAAAAAAAAAAATTAGGGTGTCAAAAATAATTTTATCGTAACATTAGCGTCGTACAATTTCCCAAACACATTGTACGATTATAAAAAAATTTATAAATAAATCGTTCATGGAGAAAAAAAATCTAACGTTAGATAATGGGAAGATCGGATACAGCCACTGTTATAGGTTACCCGGGCGTAGACCAGTGGCGTATCTACGGGGTAATATATATCACCCCCCTTGAATCTATTATTTACACGTCTAGCTATTTTTCAAAATAAATTTCTTTACTTTTTAATCAGCAAAATTAAAAATTTGACGTGTCGTTTCCTACCTGTTATTATAAAGTTAATAATGTTGATTTATCAAAAAATCTGAACGTGTACATTTTTATTTTTGTTTAAAACGAAACCTATGTTCAAACCACCAAAGTATGAAGGAGACTAGATTAGTACTTATAAATCGTAAACCGATTAATAACAAATACTTATCTAGGTAAAACTAGAATATTGTACGTTACATACAACAAAATCACATAAATTAAAAATTGATCTTTTATTTTTTTTTTTACCCGAGCACACGTTACACTGCAGTATACATACTGTATAGACAGACACGTTTTTCGAATTCAATATCTCCCTCCTTGACAAAATCCTAAATACGCTACTGGCGTAGACGCAGTGTTATTATTATTATTATTATTATATCTGGTAAGCTACGCGGACTTGCAAATTAGAACTCGCGTGGAATCCCTTTGATTTCGCGCCGTTGCAGTCGGGCTCGCGGTTAAAATCTCGCGGTGGCTTTTATGATAATAATAATAACAATAATGATAATATATTATTGTTATTATTATTATTATTATTATTATTATTATAACGTGTTTGCGCGGCCTGTCGAGGAATACTTTTTAATGATATCGTGTGTAACCGCCGCCGGGTCGCGCGCGCGAGCTCCCGAAAACCGCGTATTATTATAACGACAATAATAATAATGCGCGCTCCGAGACAATGCATAATAATAATACGTATATTTCATACGTGTCGCAATATAATGTGTGTATATTATCGTTATTATATGTATAATATTATTATTGCCGTCTCTTCTTCGCCGTCGCCGTTCGTTTGCGGGGACGCGTGTGCGCGTCCGCGCGGCCCGGAGGCGACAGAAAAAAAAAAAAAAAAAAGGAGAAAAAAGAATTTGGAAAAAAAAAAAAAAAAAATCTCCGTCCTTATTGCCGGTTGGCGGTACTCTTCGGCGACGGATGCGCGCCCGACCGCTCATTAAAATGTAAAATCGCAAACTTACAACAATAATACTATACAATACATGTATATACGACCGCGCAATTTATAAACGACGAAGTATAGTGTATTTTTTTTTTTTTTGCTGTTATAATAACATGCACGGGGCGTCGTCAGGGCCGAACACACGCGCGCGAGTTGTGACGATACGTCGCGGGTTTTTTTTTTTAAAAATGTTTTCTACACTTTATCGTTATTATTGTAGTTACGCGCGCGGTTGTTTTATGCGACAATATTATGTTTATTTAAATGAGCGTGAAAAACATTTTTCTCGGTTAACTCGCCGTTTTCTCTCCCTCTCTCCCTTCCCCGTGTACACGGCGTTTTTTTAATGTGTATTTTTTTTTTATATTTGCTTCTCTCGCTACATGCTCTACACACTAACGAGGGTCGTCCGCGTGTGAACACGTGGCCGCCACCCGCTGCAGTCGCACCGTCACCGCAACCGTGATGCATAATAACAATAATAACCACAAGCGCATCGTACACGCACGTATTATGTACACTGCTATTATAATAATATTTTTGGCGACGACCCGGTGCGAGACGAGTCCGTGACGATCAAAGGTAGACGGTATTCGTTATCGTTAATTATCGCGGCAACGGCGGTTTACAAAGTATCTGCCTACATAATCAGGAGTGCCGTGTACGGGGGGGGGGAGTTATGGGACTGCAGCCCCCCACGAGTTTGACAAGACGGAGCTCATCCCCCCCCCCGCGGTTCTCGTGTTATATAAAATAAAATCATGTACATCCTCAAAAATACTAATTTCAACTATAACAAATTAATTGAGATAAACTTTTTTTTTTCATATATTGATACCAGAGAAAAAGTGTAAATTATATTGTGATTTTTCGTGATACTATTAAAATGTTTTGTAACATATAAAACAATAAATAACAATATTTTAGTAATTATTTTTTAACGAACAATTTAAGGAAAATAAAAATTGGAAATATTTGGTAAGATTTAGGTAAAACTGTATATGTGTGTATAAAATAAAAAGATCTGAAATTTGCATAATATATGGTACAAGTCGTTATTAGAACGTCTTCGAAAATTCCACAGTCAACATTTCAACGTTTCGGATCTTGTAATCTTATATATTGAAAATAATACATTTCATAGATTTTCCGGTTTTATCCGGTTTTTTCCCGTTTATTATGAAAACAGCTGGGAAACTCAAAAAATGACCTCCTTACGGTACCACACCAGTCAGATTTTTTTTCAGAAAAAGTGCTATACTTGAAAATCGTAGAAAAATTGCTGATAGAAAAGTTGTTCACAGATAAAAATATAAACATCATTGTAATACCATTACATTTCTCGCTCCGTTAAGAATCTAAAAAAAACAAATCCATTTAACAGTGGTAATTGATTTACTGTGAACTAAATTGTATACTTTCAAATAAAATGTTTAATGTGTTTAGTTACCTATTTTTAGTGGCAACTATGTCAATTTTTTCAAGTGTTGCTCAATTTCGACACACAATGACCACCTCTGCCTCTTCCACGATTTTTTCAGGTCACTAAATTATGCGGGACCCAGGCTCAACAACGTATTTTATATTTTGGCCCTTTATACCTAATTAATGAGCAAAAAATGATAGGCTATCATTTGAAAAAAAAAACATAATTAAAAACGGAATTCTAAATTTTTTGGTATACTTTAACTAAATCCGCATGTGCATCTTTATTATTCATAAGTCATAACTAAAACTTCAATCTTAAATGATATTGATACTATATAATAATGTGGTCTTCTGATAGCTTTTGATTATCTTGTCAATACAAACTATCGAATTTGAATAACATCATGTTCAAATGTTCAAAACAAACTGATTGTGATCACAGTTATAGTTATTTATTAGATAGATACCTAACAGATAAAATAATTTTACCACCAACGCCGTATCAATCTATAATTACTAAATTTTTATAAAATAAAGATATCTATTCTGTTTACTTTGTAGATATTGAAATATTTATTTGTTTAGCTATTTCTGGACAGTTTTTGAATAATTCAGTCAAATTTGTTGATATTCAAAGAAAAATATTGGGAATGAGACTATTAAAAACTTTAAGCTCAAAATGTGTTGGTGTAAAGGCGTATTGAACTGGATAGGTACGTGACACGTGCCCGGTGATCCAGAGCTCCCTGAAATTATTTAAACAAATATAAACGTGTTGTATATTAAAACCGATTTGAACCCTCCCTGAAATTTGTTTTCAGTTAAGGCCTTTTTACTATCTATTACACTAATTCACCCTCTCCTTAAATGAACTTCATCCGTACTTTTATCCGTACTGTGTTTGTGATTGTATACAATTATAATATTATAGCTGTTCAAAATGAACGTCAGCCAAGAAACACAGCAACTATACGGCCGGAAAATTTAGCTGATATGGACCACGAACGGGTGATTCGAGAAGCGGCTGTAGCAGTTGGAGTTTTCGGGTGAGCAAATAATTTTTTTTACCAGTAGTATGGGCATTATTACATTGGCTATTTGGCTAATATTATTATTGACGTTGTTAAATCATAAATGTTTAGTTACAATTAACTATTTTAACCGTTAATTTTACTAAAAACACAATTAATTTAAACATTAAATATTTATTTTATATATTTATGCCTAAGAAATTTCTAAACAAAAAATAATACGAAATATTAGTAGATAAGTTTTCATTTTTTCAAAAATTTCAAAAAGTCAATATTTTATTTGATAAGTATAATATATTTTGAAACAACAACGGTTAGCGTAAAATATTTTATTTTCAATGTATTATATTACATAACACAATAGCAAGCGAATAATTTTTCAATATCATATTATCGACAAATGTATAATATTATAAGCTTAGGGTTTGCTACATTATAAACACACCCTGCCATTATTATAAAACGTTTTACTGTACAAGCGTATATACAATATAATATAAATAAATAACTGGCTATCACATTCGGTGGACCGTCCGCCCCGAAATTTTGATTAATGGCTTGTAAATCTCCTCTCCGTTATGTTTTCCGCGTCCATAAAAAAAAAAAAAAAAAAAAAAACAATAATAATAAAATAAAGGGTTCAGGTGTTTAGTCGCATTTTAATTCTTCATTTCGGAGGGTCGTTGGATCTACGACTTGTACATTTTATATTATATTATACCCTTATGTTTTTTTCCCTCTCTTTTATAATATACACAAAAGTCAGGATTATTCGCCTATCTGCTTTTGTCACGTTTAATTTTTTATATTTTTTTTTCGTCACTCCCCTACAAATGACAACATTACACATAATATATGAATATGCATTTTTAAATATAATTTAATATTTACAGACAGAGCAGCGCAGGTATACCCATAGGTTTACCCAAGTGCATTTCGCGCGCACAATACACGTTTATTTAGAAATGCGTAATGTGTATATATTATAACATGGACATCATATTATAACAGCTCTGAAATGACACACGCCGGCCAGGTTGCCATAATAATAATAACTACCGTTGCACGAGAGGAAAAAAAAATATTATAGGTATATTTAGTCTTGTTTGTTATGTAAATCATACTCGGTTATACTTATAACGTAAAAACATTTCGCTCCCTGATGGACACGCGGTATTTGCCAAAAACAAAAGTAGTATTATACTTACAGACAAAATATTATGCTAAACGAGTCGTTTCACAATGATTGATGCGCCATGTTTTCATAGTAATTTTTGGTTTTTATTTACCCATGTATAATAATATTGTCAATATATAATACATAATATATATTTATGTGGTCTAAATTTAAAATTGTACGTATCTATAGCTCATTGAACCAACGAACATCTATATAGGTATAGATATAGGTACGCTGTTTAAAATATGTGACCAATAAGTAACACAGGAATAAAAAAATTAAAATTTAATTTTGGGGGTCGAATTTCATTCAAATTACTCTCTAAATTTTAATGGGACTAATAAGAACAAACCGTAAAATATTCAGCGAAATTGGTCGAATATTTTTTAAGTCTAGTATATTATGGTCTACGAAAAATAAATGCCTTTTATTATATTATTACATTGATACATTTCTGGGTTACCTTGGTTACATTGATACCATAGTTAGTCAAATTAGCACGGTCGTAAAAAATACATAAAACAACGTAAACAAAAACCTCTTAAATAATAATTTTATTTAGGTATCTTTTATAGTATTACATTAATAAAATACCTATCTAATACATACTTAGTCACATATGTAGGGATTTAGAGATAAACAATTAAATAAAACAAAAATTAAATGTTCAAATCAAGTGTAAATCAGTATTTAAAATAAAAAAAACTGTATGAACCGGAACGCTTATAAATTTATAATACGCCACGTGCGGATATGCCTATAATACAGTATATAATTTGAGAACAATTTTTTTTTTTTTTTTTTGCTGGTTTTAATAAAAGTAAAAATTTGTTGAAAAATATACCTATTCAAGCGATTTAAAGTTCGGACAAATTGATTCTTGACTGTACACTAACGATGTACAGGAGAAGTGGTTTACGGGTGTTATAAAATCGCATTATAACTTAAGGCATTTAAATCGGAGAGAAATAGAATTATAAATTTGTTATTATTCATAAATAAATTACGTATAATTGAACAAACACAATTGAACAATATTGTTCAGTAAACCATATTTGTGTCTTATCTATCCATTATCCGTTCAGAACTACCTATATTATCTATTTAACTATTTTTACAAATTGCTCAGTTTCGTCGTTCGGTGAACTAGTTCAATTTGGGTGAACGACAAATGAACGGACTATAGTTCGCCTCAGAGAACAACTGGTCCCATCTCTATTCCCGACTCATAGTATAATATTATGACGGACATAATACCATTACGGTTAAGAATAGATATCAATTTATACGGGATTAGTTAGCTATTGTATAATATAATATTAAATTATAAAACGATTTAATCCCACGGCGAATTACAAATTAAACGATGTCGGTCCCCGGGATTTCCTTTAGAACCGCCATATGGGTATTATTTTTTTTTTTTTTTATGCCTTTTTCGTCGTCATTCTCCACACCATCACCAGAACTTAGGGATTAACCATCAAAGGCACTCGTGTGGGCGATGGCCCTGCAAATAATTCATGTGTTGGGGGACAACGCCCGTGTCGTTTGACTAATGTTAATTTGATGGGCGGATTTCGTATGTTATTATAGTATATATAAATAATATATATTTATGTGTGCGTATTTATTATTATTATATATATATATATATGTATATGCATAGGTAGCCAGATAGGTAACTAATAATTAAGGCTCGGAAGTTGTTGCATTTGCAAATTTTTTTCTATTGTTTGGATTTGTTGCTAAGTAGGTTTTAAATTCGTTTCATATTAGTACGAATTAAAATCTAAACATTTTTAATGCACTTTTTTGCAATTTATGGCATTTTTTTTTTTTTTATTTGATTGCAATATTTGTTGATTTTCTTCATTTATAATGCAATTTTAGATACTTTTAAATGTTATTCACATGATTTAATTATTTGTCCACGATAAAATAAAATAACTTTAGGGACCGTGTCAGATATTATGTCCGAATAATAATATAATAAAAATAATATCATGTGGTGTATGCGTATTGATGGTTATTTCTGGCTTGTCGATTGTAATGGCAGCGGTGGAAATACCATACCGATAAGACGACGCACGAGTTATTATTTTCTCAAAACATTAATAAAAAAATAGCCCGATAAAACTTGTACTATTTTTTTTTTTTTTTAATTATTGCAGTTATAGATATTTTTTACAGTAGTAATACAGTCAATTTTAATATTTTTTAGTGCAATAACTTCAGAGCACTGCTAATAATATACTACGTAAATAGTAAATACAAAATAGCGTCGTACGTACACGATGAACACACGAATTGTTATTATATTATTTTGATAATAATAATAATATATAATATTTAACGTACACGGCGATATGCGAGAGAATTAGAACGTTATTTCTACTACGGTGAAAATTAATATAATATTTTTACTAATTTGTGTATGATATTTATCGCCTATTTTAATACAAATACGTTTAATTAATCGATACGGAACATAATTAAACCATTAATTATCATTTAATTAGTTACACACTTCCCTAATTACCATATGCGTGCGCACGGGTAGGGCTGATTAGGCTTTAGCCCCACCTGAGCCTTTTTTTATACGTGGGTGGGTATCTACTTGGTACTTTATGAAGTTATGACTAAAAGTAAGTATAGCCCTTTTAGTTTTAAAACTTTATGTTTACCCGAGAGACTGTATAGAAATTAGAAAGTAATAAGGCATTATAGCCATAGAAAATTGATAACAAAATAAATAAAAATCTATGATATTTACACGATTAAAGATATACTGGTTGGCGGTTGCCCATCGAGATGTGATAAGTATTTGTGGATATTAAACATGTTTAATATCTATGATTAAAATAATATTATATTTTATCTTTATGTATGCTTATACTAGTTACCATTGAAAGTAGTTGCGTTAGGCATGCTATACTTGAAAAAATTGCTAAACAAATAAATATAAAACTTGTAACGCTAAAATCAATGTCTAACACAATATGAGCTAGCTGATCTGAAGCTAAATACACTATTAAATCTAATTATTCAGCTTTGGTTATAGCGTTTCAAGAAATTTGTGATTCAACCAGACTCTGATTAATGCGCTAAAGCTTGTGGTTTAATTTTTCAAATACAATCTTTCAATTTTAAATTCGCCTTTAAAAGTCAGTACAAATTTACAAAGTGGACAATTAGTTTAACAATTAGACAATATCGGTCTGATGATGAAGAATATGAAAAAATACGCAACAATGCTATAAAAATGTGTAATGAAAATAATATTGACATTCCTGATATAAAATACGAAAAATATCAGAAAAGGTTGACGACAACCACAATCATCAATATTTTGAGAAAACTAAAAAAGATGAAATGAAACATTCTTAATTTTATTTTGCACTTGATAAAATTATATCTGGATTAAATGTTCGATTTTTTCCCGGTTTTACAGTTCTATGTTTTATCCGAAGAATAGATATCCCGAATATAAAGTTATCTAAAATATTTTGAATAGAATATTTTGGTTTTGCAATGTAATAAATTCTCTAGATAGCTCTGTGATATAAATTATAAGTGTGAAATAATGAAAAATGATTGTTTACATTTTTCAGTCACCAACAAAAGCGTCACTTCGAAGTTTGAAGTAAAAATGTCTATAATTTTTTTCTTGTGTAACCGTGACAGGGGAGGTCAGATTGAATTTAGTTTCTGACTCAGAATTCTGCACACACCTACGCTAACTACTCATACTTATATAATATTTTATATATTGGAGATTCCTCTATGAATAAAATATACATACTAATCATATATGTGTCATATTATTGTAACTACGAAAATGTTACCGTTTTTAGGCTGTTATATGGGTAATAAATATAATGACCAGAGAGTAATATAATAATTATAATAACAATAATAACTAATAAGTAATATTTAAATGGGCATTACAACATTATGCCTTGTAGTATTTAAAAGGCTTGCGTAAAGGCGATTTTTACGAAATTGTTGAAAATTTAAGATGTATTAACTCAAAAACATTCAAAATATTGGTCAACATCGTGAGTTCAACATTTTTTGAAACACTCTTTACTTTTTTGAATTTTTAAAACCTAAATTTTTGTGTAATATTTTAAAAAACTCATTAAATAAAATTTTCTTTGAAATATTAACCTCTGCATTATAATTTTTAAACAGTTAGGTATTTGATTGTTACGACCTAATTACTCCTCGAGTAATATTATTATTATTATTATGTTATTGTAATGAGAGAAATTCTCAACAGGCCGTGTCTTTACAGACCCCCAGTTTCTGTGGCATTAGCATTGTCACCGTTAAGGTATCACCCCAACGGTCCTATAGCGCCACCACCGAGCATACAACAACGGCCGGCGGAACCTTCACCAACCACATCGTCGTCGCCTAAACAAGAATCCAACCACGATGACCAAGACGATGGTAAGTGATCTATAGACTATCATTCCCTTTCAATTTTCTGTTCACAAAACGCATGTAAATCGTCGTGTTTTAGCTCGGTGTTTCCACTCAAAGTATGGGTTCGTTTTCTTTTCTACACATGAAATATCCTAACCCATGGATCTTTTGGTCTTAGATAAAGCTAATCACTATGAACCTCATGTCCATACAAGCTCCTGCAGTTCATTATTTTGTTTCCTTAGCCGAATTCCTATGTGTGCATCAAAATCTGGCCAACGAATTGTCGACCATATTTTATTGTCTTTTCGTTATATTCTATTGTCATTGTCAAAAAACCGCGGTTTGGTTACGAATGCATCTATAAGTAATAGTGTAATACCAATAAAATCGTTTTGCAGACGACAGTATAGACGTGACTAACGAGGAACCAGACACCTCGGACAACAGGAGGGGTTCGTCGTCACCACCGACGGTGCCGATACCACTCACTCAGCACCATTCCATGTATGACCATCATCCATCCTTCTACCCGGGCCTACACGAAAACGTATATGAGACATCTGCCCGTCTGCTGTTCATGGCCGTTAAGTGGGCGAAAAATTTGCCGTCGTTCGCATCTCTTCCGTTCAGGGATCAGGTGAGCACACATCCCGAACAAGAGAAAATCAAGAGTCGTTATTGAATGTGTTTTTGATTGTATGGAATGAAATTACGATGTGGTTTCGGTAGACGAAAGTACTTAAATTTTGAAAGACAAGATTCAGAGGTAGAGAAAGAGATTTTTGAAAAAAATGGGATTAAAGCAAAATTATAGAGTTTAGGTTTAAAAGAGTGGTTAAAAGACATAGAAGTCATCATGAAGTAGGGCTCGGAGATAAAATTTTATAAAATTAGTCAAAGAGTGCATTAAGTATATTTAGTAATGTAATAGCAATAGTATATGCAAAATAATGAAGAAATCGTACTAGAGAAGTAGAGATGTTGTTACAGTAGAATCAGTGAAGATTATTTCTAGTTGTGATAAAAGCGACAGGAATGTTGTGTACCGCAATAATGCCATGGTGGCGTTATGTACTTAATAATAAAACATACATAACTATTGACCATTTCTAAAACGGTTTTCTTTTTCCTAGGTGATACTCTTGGAGGAATGTTGGTCTGAATTGTTTTTATTGAACGCAGTTCAGTGGTGTTTGCCACTAGAAAACAACCCATTGTTCAACCCTTCGGATCACGTAGCCGCTATACCCAACGGTAAAGCCAGTCAAGTAGCGGCCGACATACGCGTTCTGAACGAAACGTTGCGCAGGTTCCGGACTATCAGCGTCGACCCAGCCGAGTTTGCCTGTATGAAGGCAATCGTATTATTCAGAGCCGGTAACGATGAACTCTTTTATACACATACATATTAAATTACGGTATCCTTTGGTTCGGTGCATACGAGCTGCCTCCCAAAATATACGAATCATCCCCCATCATTATCGTAAATAATACACTAGTTGCCTCCGACGATTGGGTAGTTCATAATTATATACGAGTTGCCTCCCGTATAGAATAAAGCAGTGGTTCATAAACTAAACTGAATTTAATATAATATTTACAATTTTATTAAAAATAATAATATCACTGTTCAATAGAAAACATTTGGTAATACAATTAGTCAATAAAATAAACACAATATGGTAATAAATAAAAAATAAAAAAATATATTATTATCAAAATTATCAAATTTAATATACCTAATATTTATAATTTTGTTAAAAATAATAATATCATTGGTCAATAAAAAACAATATCCAACGCTGGGTGATAGGTTACTAATAAGTAACTAATAAGTAACAACCAATATAATATTACTTCATGATAAAAGATTTAAACATATCTATATATTGATGCATGATGTTTGAACATTTTTGAATCGTTTTGTGAACCACGTACACATTTATTAGGTACCTGCCTATTGGAAGGTAATTCGTATTCAAATTATCGACCTTTTGGACCTCGGGAGGCAACTAGTATGCTCCCTCTTAGTTATAGAAATTAAAAGTAAAATCGTATTTTATTTTTATTATTTTTTAGATTCGGAGTGTAGTGAATTTTACTATGATGTGTTTTTTTTTTCTATCTGTAAAAAACGTTTGAAAAAAAAAACTAGCTCCAAAGTATAGACTGTAGACAACTGTTCTGAAAGGAAGTTTTCTCTAGTTGATAAATTAATTTAGGAAGTCATTTTTCGATTTTCCAAGAGGTTTTCGAAATAATCCGGAAAAACTCGAGAAGAAAAGTATAGGTAAAAAAACGGCAAATATTTATGGCGCACCGCAGCACAAAGACCTTTTTTGTTTATTTTTAATCTAGTTCATGAGTCAATACATGAATTTACTAGCTTTTCTTATACGTTAAATGTTCGTGAAAAATAGTTAAGTTATAAGTGTAGATATTATTATACATTATTGTACAGTGTGTCTCACCGCGTTAAACGGATTTTTCTAGTGCTGTTAATGTAAAATTTTTCGATTTTTTTTTTTTTTTCAAACGGTTTTCTTCGAGAGGGAGATCGATTTGGAGAAAAATTACATTTTTATTTTCATCCTCAAAACACAAAAAAAAAAAGTAACTTTATTTATTCACTTTAGAAAATTTTCAAATAGCAATTTTGTAAAAAATATTTTTCTAAAAATGTTAATGTATCATACTCACATTCATATACGAATAATAGTTTCTTAATTATAGCCGTTTTGATTTCTATAAAATAGGCGTGAAAACAATTGATATTCAATAGAAGGTAAAGAATTACCATGCTAATTTTAATTCCTTAACATAAAACGTGTTATTTTATTGAATATTAATAGTTTTCACACCTAATTAAAACTACGACTAGGCATAACTAAGAAATTATTCGTCGAATATAAATATTGTGATACATTTCAATTTTTTTGAATAGTATTTTTTACAAAATGGCTATTTTAAAAATTTTCTAAAGTGAATAAATAAAGTTTTTTTTTTATGTGTTTAAGGGATGGTAATAAAAATCTAATTTTTCTCCAAATTTATGTCCCCCTCAAAGAGAAACTGAATGAAAAAAAAAGTCAAAAAAATGTAATATTAACAGCGCTAGAAAAATCCATCGAACACACTGGGACACACTGTATACACTATACATTATATATTATACAGTCGTTTTTGTTGAGTCACAGAGGATTCTAAGCTGTAGCTAAATATTAAGTGTGATAAGAGTAGAAATAATCCTTCCTTATACTTCATAACAGATTTTATGATAAAGATTTTATCACACGGAAAACTGATAATTGGTGAATTTCAGTTAGGCGATTAGACAATTAAAATGTACACACATAAGCATTTAGTATTGAACTCCTTCCAAAAAATGCACCCGTAAACTATTATAAACTATAAACTCCCCGTAAAAAAAGTTTAAAATATTTCCACTGTTGTTATATTATTGGGACAAATCCATATTTAGACTAAAATGATAACTACATATTCAAGATTTCACAATAACATTGAGTTTTTAAGAGTATTTGATAAATATTTATTTAAAAATTAATTTCAGAGTAGCTAGAGTAACCATATCAATTTGTACAATGAAACAATAAATAAACATGAATATACGATAGATACGTAGGTATAAATTTTTACTCGGTACAATAATTTATTATGTACTTACCTATATTTACCTGTAAATTAAATTCCCCCTCAACCTACCAAACTTCTCACCTACAAGTGGCCCACCATCATTGCGAATTATGTTTGTTTGTTCTAAAATTTATTTATATGGTGAAATACTTGGTTTTTTTTGTGCCTCTCTTCCCATTATTAATTTCTAAATACGTCCCTATTGTGATTATATGTAGGGGGGCTTGTGGAGTGATCTCCTATGAGTTATTTTAAGTTGATAAATGATAATTCGAGGTTGAGTTATAGATTGTCAATCTAACCGGAGCACCCGTATTCTCTGGACCAGTAGAGATTTTGTAGGTATTTACACAGTGGCGTGGGTACCTAGAGTAAAGCTAAGAGGCATCATCTTTCCATTTGTCGAATAACGAATTGAATATAAAATAATCATTGTTAACAAAATACGATTCTGAACGTAGTTCAGTTGTACATTTTTTTTAAATACCATAAGTTTTACAATTTTCGTCAAAAATTAAAACTAAAATATGTATATATAAAAAAAAAAAACTGCTCGACATATTATTACGTTAAACTTTTTTTATCAACAACTAAAACTTATAATGAACCACGTATTTGACTTTCAAATATTTTTGTTTGGTTAACAAATTATATTCATATTAATCGAAAAATAGTACTCACGCAAAATTACATGATTATTATTATTTCTACTAAAAATAATATAATAACTATTCAGTATGAAAAAATATTTAATGATAAATAATAATCATCGCACATTTGCACTAATTCAGCTACTTATTCAGTTGAATACAAATAATTTTAATAGGTAGGTACATAATTATATATTTTGTAAACTATTTTGTTTTATTCAAGTTCTTTTAGTTCAGTTCTCCTTTCCATCAAAATGTATCCTGTATCAAGATGTCACTATAGTTACCGATAATATGACTTCAAAAATATTCAATACATTGTAATTAGTCATAAATAGTTTAAGTATAGGATTGACATAGGTATTGAAGGATTAATTTATTGTCAATCCTTATCAAACTTAAATTTCTATATACAAAGACCTAAGTTTAAATATTAATTATTCAAGTACGAGCAGTCTTGTAGATACATCCTCAAAATATAGAAACCCCGTACTTCATAATACAATTATTCAATTATTTAATATTTTTTAGAATTATTATTATTGAATTAATAATAATTAGAAGCTTATATAACTACTAAATTATTGGTTAATAAAAAAACAAATCATTAGACAAATAAAATGTATCATAATATTTTTCATTGTTCATTGTAATGAGATTAATTTTATATTTTGTGTAAATTAATATTAAAATACTAAAAATGCTAATATTCTTTAAATTTATAATAATTTTTAAAAGATTAATGATACTGAATACTTACATTATGAAGGGCGACGATTTTAAATTGGGATATTTCTTAACGGAAACGATTAATTATCTGTATTATCGTCTTTATTAATTTGTTGTTTATTTGGAAAATGAACTAGATTTGTATAAAGTACCCAAATAGTAAAATATGATTTGCATTTTCATGTACCGATTTTCACGGTTGTTCTAGATACTCGAGGATTGAAAGACCCGATACAGGTTGAAAATTTACAGGATCAAGCGCACGTCATGCTCGGTCAACACACTAGAAACCAGCATCCCGGACAACCTGTCCGTTTTGGTCGACTTTTGTTGATGTTACCCCTATTGAAAAACGTACCGGCTGCCAGGATCGAGGCGATATTTTTTCAAAGGACCATTGGCAATATACCGATGGAAAAAGTCTTGTGCGACATGTACAAAAATTAATGTCATTAACATAATAATATTTTATAATTTCATAGTGTTAATTTGTTGACTGTTAACTATATAGTGTTGTTTAGATCTGTGGTTCTCGACCAGTGTGTCGGGTATACTACTGTGATTTGTCGTCAAAATTTGTTTTTTACAAATATAAATGTAAAAATATTGGTACAGACACATTATTATTAGTATTATTATTAGATATTTTTATAGAAATATCATGGAATGCAATGTTAAATTATAAATTTTATGAAGCCCCAGTCGATTAATTTTTGATTTCTTAGTAAAACAAATATCCCAAAGGCGAATTAAAAGCATTGCAAATTTTGCTTCCAATCTTAACTTCGTGCATGCAGTGGCGCTAAACTAACCTAAAATAGGTGACTTAAACATAGACGTATAAATATTTATATGTCTATGGATATAACGTTTCATTGTTATATCAACCTACCGACATTTTAGATGCTATTGACTATAGTGTTGAATTTAAATTAATTCCAAATTTCATCTGTGTTATTTCCAAATAAACCTTAACCACATTTAGGTATGGAATTAGATTCGTGCTAACTTTAAAACTTATTAATATTAAGGACTGTATTGTATTATAATATAGGTGTTGAATATTTGTCATTTTTATGTAAAAACCTATAGGTATCACTTCAAAAAAATACCTATCATACCTATCTATTTATAGGTAGGTACTCTTGTATTTATATAATTATTATATTTATTTTTTATTTTAATAATAAACAAACGCCTTGAGACGTTGGGCAAGGTAACAAAAATTTACTCGAGAATAATAAACAAGTTTAGACGATGCGCTGACACAACATCCTATGTAGAGGTTGGTTGTGCCTGTAGAAGGTGAAATGAGTAGGAATAAAAATAAATAAAGGTTTCTAGTGAGGTAAGAGGATATACAATTGATAGATTGTGAAGGAGAGGAATCGATTTTAAACTTGTTCAATGCACAGCTAATTATAGACCAAGTATGGCCATATAGTTACACCGTAGAAGATACCAATGATGCTTTTTGAAATTTAAGTTAAGATTAACTTGCTTAGTCCTGATAATTATCTAAATTATCATTGTAATTCAAAATTTAATTACAAGAGTTTGAATTCGCAGGAGTGTCTATTTTGGAGTACTTTTAAAATCGTTCATAAAATAAAACAATACATATTCAAAACACAGTACATACCACTTACCCATTAAAAAAGGAGTAACAGCTGTTATAACTTTATAACCTATTTAGTGCCACTTGGTACATGAGTGAATCGACATTTGTAATATTAAAAGTTACACAGATGAAAAGATCTACGATTAAAGATATAGAAAGTGAATACCATGTTTGTTAACCATTCACCCACAAATTCAAGACCTTTGTTTAATTTGCCAATCTCAAGTGCCACACTGATTTTTTTAACTTTATTACCAAACAGTAATAAAATAGTAACAAGTGAAATATATATATAAGAATTTAGATACGTTTATAATTGTTATTTTTTTTTTTAAAAAAAAACTATTAATTGATTTAAATGGGTTATCAATTATTAAGTTAGTGTTGTCGTAAAATAAAAGTTGAGAAATTATGTAAAATATTTGCGAAATAATAAATTATAAGAATTTTTTAACTGCTGTATTCATATTATGTAACAAAATTACTATTTTTTAAATGCTGAAAAAATTTGTTTAATTATTAAAATTAAATAGTTATAGGCTTTGTTGTTATTGTTGTTGTTGTTGTTGCTACTGCTATGTAAGATAAATTTAATATTATTTATAGCATACAATTTTCATACCTTATATAATATATAAGTATACATTAATACCAATGTATGATACCCTTCTACTAATTCTTTATCTTTTATATCAAAATAAATAAAAATAATATAGTTTATTAATCTATTATCATTGTTCCATTAAAGTTTGCTTAAATACAATTTTACAATAATATTATTTATATATATAGTTTAATATGTACAACAGTAGAAATGTACTTTAAAGAAATAACATTATTATTAAGTACATTAAAAACTAAAATACAGTGTTTTTATTTTGTTTTATTATATATAAAAAAAAAAAAAAATCTAGTGTCATAATTCTAAGGTAAATAATATTTATATTAATTTACATATGCAGACTTGTTTTAATGAATATCTAGCTTTTGCTTTTTTGCCAATGAACCAAAAGCTGAAATAATTGTTCCTTTGGTACCAGTTGCTAATGTTGTCAAGTCCCATTTAGTTTTTTTATCATCTGATTTGTGTGATACTATGTTTGAAACACTGACTGAAGGCTTTTTTGTACCAGAAACAACTTCAACCTATTAATAATCACAATTAATAAGAAATATTCAAAAAACTAATATTTAGAAAATTGATTGAATGAAAAACATGATTTTTACACGATTACTTACTTTTGTTTTCTCCTTTCTTTCTTTTTGTCTCTTTTCCATATCTTCTTTTTGTAAGCGACCCAATTCTTCGTAAAATGATTCTTTACCCCACCTGAGAGGATCATACAAATGTGGTGGATAGTTTGTACCTAATTCGTTAATATTACAAAATTGTAAAAGTTTTTCATATATGCTGGGATTACGGAAATCTTTTCTCTTCTGTATCAAAAAATTCATATTCATGCCTTCTTTTTCCATTTTTTCGTGTAATCTCGCAATTTTATCTTGCAACTCTTTAGAGCACCTACCTTGCGGTTCTGGAGGTAAAATATCTTCTTCATCTATATCTGACCTTCGATCAATTTCTTCATCTGACATAACAATATCATGATCTTCAAAATATGATACTAGATTATTAGTAACTTCTGGGTTAGTGACGGCAGGAGCTGAATTTGGTATTTGTAGTTGTGGTTGTGGTGGATTATGTTCTTGGGGTAATTCATTTGAAATAGATACATGTTCTTCGATATGTTTACGCTGACTGGGTGTAGTACCTTCATCTTCAGAATCAGTATAATTGGCCGTCAATGATGCTAGAGCTGACATTTTGTATATATTACTATATAACCTTTATCGAGTTTATTGTAAACAAAAATTGAAAAATAACAAAAAAATAAATAATAGATTTTTATAATCTTCTTATACTCGTGATATAAAAGACTATAAGAGATAAGAATGATAAGGACGATTATTTTGTGTATTCATTTTGCAATTTTAGTTCACTTTTTTACCACTATTTTCAGAGAGCGCTCCAAACTGAATAGATTATGTTAAAAATGCCAAAAATATTGAACTATTCACGGTTTTTAGATTATGAGTGCAGGGATGAAGCTTATAGTTTTACAAAGATGTTTATTTTTTTTCTATCTGTGTAAAACTTTTCTACCAGAAGACTAGATTTCTACGTGTAGCACCTTTTCTGAAAGGAAATCGACATGGGGAGGTACTTTAGAGAGTCCGTTTTTTGATTTTCCCAGTAAATGTGAAAAACTGGTGTACATGGGAAATACGTAGGAAAACTAAGAAAATTGATACAGCATTGAACACATTTTTTAAAGCATCATTATCAACTGAACTTCGCTCAAAATATTTTTTTTCGTAAGCAATGGTTTATTGTTGCTTACAGATATACATTAAATTCCTAATTAAATACACCCGTGCCCATTATCTTAGCTTTTTATTAAATTTCAAGAACATGCACGCTTAGTATAAGTATACTGCACTTATTAAAGACCATGAACCTGTAAACTAAGTTTAGTTTACAGGTTTACAGATTTTTAGTTTATTTTGTAGAATTATCAGAAAACTATCAACAGATGTCTTCTATAATTTTTAATTAATTGGTGCAAACTATATTTAAAATAATGAATTTCATTTACATTTTTTTGTTTGTGAACAACTTTTTTACCAGAAATCTTGCTCCAATTTGCAATGATAGCACTTTTTATAAAAGAAAATCTGACTTGGAGGTACTTTATGATGGTAATTTTTTTGATTTTCCCAATAAATGAGAAAAAAGGGAAAATAGGTACAATATTACACAAATATTATTTAAGAAAATAAATAATGCATCATATTTTATTATTTTACCATAATATGACATATACAATGATGACAAAACAATACTATCAACTGAACTCTGTTCAGAATCGTTTTTTTTGGTTAGCATTGGTTAATCATTGTTTACAGGTATACATTAAATTACTTACAACAGTGACTGCACCTGTCCCTATTATCCTAGGACAGTTTTTTTATATGAATAAAATTTTTTTGGCTAAGCAGAAATACTTGGAAATGTATTAAAAGGTTCATAGTAAGAGTTAAAAAAAATGTATGTAATTTATATTAATATGAGTGTAAATACATTATGAAAAAAACACTAAATGTACACAACAATTGTGTGATCAATAGAAAAAATTAAATCTCACAATTTATATAATACCTAATCTATTTGAAATTCAAATAAATTAGGCTTATAATAGATATATTTGTGAATTTATATTCTCTATATAATGCAATAGATAATTTAAAAAAAATTAAACAACAAATATGTATTTTGTTTAACTTTATACATTTTTTAAGTGAACATTACTGAATTTATTTTAAATTTATAATGAATCAAAATACAAATAATTAAATTTTACATTAGTTGTAGGTCATATAACGTGGAGTTGACGAGAACTTGGCATACGATTTGATAACCTTATTTACAGCTTCAAGAAAATCTTTTTCAGTAGCAACTTTTCTCCGAGCTCTAATAGCGAACATACCAGCTTCAGTGCATACTGATCTTATTTCAGCTCCTAAATATCACAAAAAATAAATCAATTTTAATATTTTATACAATGTAACTATAATATCTAACACATATTATAAGAAATTTGTTAGAATGAAGAAATATTGATTATAAAAATGTTATTTTCACAATAATTATGATTTATTTGTTTAGAAATACTTCAAATATAAATATATGTTTAATATTAATACTAATGTTAAATTGTATTAAATATATAATACAACTAAACTGTACATATTACTGTAGATAATAATATAATTTTATTGTATAAAGCAAATACATTACCAGTACTATTCGGACATAATCTAGCCAGTAACTCAAAACGAATATCTCGTTCAACACTCATGGCTCTAGCATGTATATTGAAAATGTGAGTACGACCTTCCAAATCCGGCAAACCAAATTCAACTTTTCTATCGAGACGTCCTGGTCTCATCAATGCTGGGTCTAATGTATCGGGTCTGTTTGTGGCCATTAAGACTTTAATGTTTCCCCTAGGATCAAATCCATCTAATTGATTAATAAGTTCCAGCATAGTACGTTGTACTTCGTTATCACCACCAGCACCATCATCAAAACGGGCACCACCAATCGCATCAATTTCATCAAAGAATATCAAACAAGCTTTCTTACTTCGTGCCATTTCAAATAATTCTCTTACCATACGTGCACCCTAAAAATTAAAAAAAAAAAAACAAATATTAATAGGCAATATAATCAAGATCATAACTATTTAAGAAAATCGGGCTATCATGATGAAAAGTTATATAAACTACTCTATTCAGTGAAATGAAAAATATTTTCAATATATATAGTATATACATAAATATAATATTCAATTTTACCTCCCCCACATATTTCTGCACAAGCTCTGAACCAATAACCCTAATGAAGCAAGCGTCTGTACGATTTGCAACTGCTCTAGCACATAAAGTTTTACCAGTTCCTGGTGGTCCAAACAACAACACTCCTTTAGGTGGTTCAATTCCCAAATTCACAAATTTTTCAGGCTGAAATTTAAACATAATATTAATAATCAATATAATAATATACCTAGCTAGTAATTTATATAGATGTTAACACTTAAAATAACCAAATATAAAGTATTTTTAATTTTTAACTAAAATCTCCATAAAATATGCAACAAACAAATTGTTGATAATAAATACATTTCATTTGAATACCGGATCATTGCCAAATTAGGGAAATGAAATAGCAAACTCAAAAAATAGACATGTATAGCAACTCAAATTCCTAAATCATCACTAATTTCTAATACTAAAAACAATGTGTATTATTTGTACATATCTGGCAATACTTCAGGCTAGATCAAACAATCTTTTAAATACCTAATTGGGAACAAAACCTTATTATATATGCTACTTATGATATCCCAACTATCTGTAAACATTTACAAATTATAACTGTTATACTATTAATATATCTAATATACAAAGAAGAAAAGAGTCAACAGAACGGGACATTTTTTAAACCTTCAAATTGAAGACTAAAAAATCCTCCCTTGAATCACCCAAATTAGACAACGAAATTTAATACAATTATCACACCAACTAATATTTTCAAAAATGAATTTTTTGTATTTTCAATCTCACTGGGCCTACCTATTATAAATTTATCAAAACGTACATAATGTAATTGAAAGGTTATTGCCGGAGTAATTGTTAAGTTTAATAAAAATAACTATATACCTAAGTATATATTATAATATAAAAATGGATTTTATACTGATGAATAATTTGACTTAGTATAAATTTTATAAGATGGTAACAGGTCACAATTAACATAATTTTATAAACATCAGTCGAGTAAAATATTTTTAAATATATATAACCAACATGCAATAATGGTGTCTCAACAACTTCTCGCAGTTTATCAATTTGATCTTTACATCCACCAACATCTGAATAAGTCACATCAGGTTTTTCTTCTACTTGCATCATAGTTACAGTTGGATCAATTTTCGGTGGCAATGGAATATGAATTTGATATTTGTTACGATCAACTCTGCATGAAAATCAAAATAAATATTAGATACAATATATTATAATATACAATTTAACTATAAAAAAAATTACCCAACACGCATTCCTTCTTCAATGTCAGTTGGTGCTACAGAATCTGCAAGATCAACAACAAACTTGGCAAATTGTTTCACATTAATAATGTATTTAGGATCATCAGAATCAGCATTTATAATTTTTGTACATCTCGCAACCTTTAAAATTTGAACTTTAATTTAAAAAAAAAAAAAAAATAATAATAATAAAATTATATCTACTTGTAATGGTTGTTCATTTTGAAGAGTCTGTTTGTCAGCAGTTAAATCCCAAAATGCAGGTGGTGCTAATCCTGTATCAGATTCTTTGATTCCAGTTAATTCATTAATACGTTTTTTAATACTCTCAATGTCATCTTCAACAGCTTTAACATTAATTGTCCATTGACCTTGGCCCTATACATTTCAAAATAGAGACTTCTATAATAATATGTAATTGGTTTAGTAACCAAATTGGTTTAATTAATAGGTTAATTTATGAATTTGAGAAAATAATAATATCTACTCACATAAGTCTTAAGTAATGCAATATCTTCTTCGTCCAAAGCTAAATAATAAAAATATTAATTTAATATATTTACAGTAATCATATATTTGACTTATTTATCACAAAAAGTGATAAAATCAAATAATAAGTCAAAATAAAAATAAATTTTATTTACCTAATACAACAATAATGTATATCAATATTAAGAAAGTTAGTTATTAACAGTTTATGTAACTTTTAACTATCAAAAAATAAGTAAATTATATTAAACATTTTATAAAAAACATTTGATAAATATAATCTTTTTTTAAATATAGTTTTATATATTCCATTATGTGACGTATCCCCAAGGGACATAGTAGATTACTTTAACTCATTAAAGTTTATTATACATTGTCTTCATATTCTTCTCCTCAGTCTTCAACTATAGTAGGTATTTAGTAAAACTAGTGAGAAAAAAAGGGGAAATAGCTTTGACATTTTATAAATATCTCATTCATTATACTAACTTAATTATACTTTAATAGTATGGAATTTAAGAAGAACACTCGATTTGATGTTTTAAAAGAAAATTTTCTGTTACAAGTATAAGGAATTATTATTTTTTAAAACTTACACTTGATTTCTTTAGTTTCTTCTTTTTCGGGCTCATCTTTCTTCACCTTTCTCATTTCATCACCTAAATAGTCAGGCATTTTGGATAATAAAATTTACTACACAATATAAAATATTATTTATGATGATTAAAATCAAGTTTAGGTCTTAAACTTTTAATTTTTTAACAACAGAATTTAATTTTATTAGATTTTTTTTGTCAAAATATGAGCAATCACCAATAGTATTTTGCTATGGATAGACGTTGGAGTATTGATGAATAATGATAAAGCTGTTTTTGTTTTAAAATGTAACTAAAAAATAATTTAAGGTTAACAATGACTTCTCAACAGTCATCATATTCATACACGAGCGCTCTCTTGAAAAGTAATTTAGAACTACGCAAAAAAATTATTATAATTGTGTTTACAATACAATGTGCTCAATGACCGATGCTGCTATGCTTAGATCACATGCATTATAATATGACACTCTTCTTCGGGGTCGTCGATATATACACGTAAATTATTTTTAATACAAAATTTAATTCAATTTCTATATAGAATTATCTTGTTTTAAGATTCTTAGCAACTGCATGGAGACTCATTTTAAACTATTGTATTGGGGCATTCTACTGTTAATAATATAGCTACAAATGTCTGTGTGGTCATAATAGATAAGGTATTAGTTGAATTAATGCCAATTGCCACTATTAAAAATAGAAGATTGGGAAAACATTGGGAATGATTTCTGGAATTTTCCAAATTATGTAGGAGCGCTCGGCGGCAAACATGTGAAGATTTTTGCACCGTCGAATAGTGGCTCACAATTTTTCAACTATACACCAATATTTTCCATAGTGTTGATGGCTATAATGCAAATTATAAATTATTGTAGTAGATGTAGATTCTGAAGAATAATGACCGTAATGTAGGTAACGAAAAAAAGAAATATTTTACTAAATGTATAGCACCTTTATACTTGGAGATGAGGCATTTCCGTTAAAACAGTATATTTACTCATATGTTATCCTGGCTCAAGAATAAATAAAAACATAGATAAACAAGTATTATATAGATTGTCGCGAGCTCATCGTGTATAGGAAAATACATTTGGAAATTTAGTACAAAAATTAAGAATTTATTGTAGAAGTATAAATTTATTTTCTAAGAATGTTGACAAAGTAATATTAACGACATATATTTAACATCACTATATTAAAGAAAATATAATGATGGCGCAGAATTTACTACCTGTCAAAAGAAAATCTAACTGGTCAAATTTACTAAGGCAAGGAGTAAAAGCAAATAATTCTGCAATTTATGTGCATGGAACATACACAACTTTTTCATTGTTATGGCATAGATAAATTTGTACATTCTAATCATTTTTCATATTAATATTCAAGTATAATAAAAATGAATTATTTTTAAGTTGTCTTTATCAGGGCACTTTAATTCATGTTATCTGAAAAGATAAGAACGGACTTGCATTGATACATCTAAATAAAGTTTTCGATAAATGTTGCTGTTTTGTGACACTGAGATATAAATACAGTAATAATTACTGAATCACAGAAAATTATTTTATGAATTGAGATGCAGATGGGATGTAACATAATATATATATACACATAAATGAAATGTAATATATAATTTATTTTATTATTTATTTAAATATATTACATAATACATAATTATATTAAAAACACTAACTGTATAATTGTATTTATTATGTTTTAGTCGTAATACATTTAATATATAAATAGGCTGGTCTGTTCAATTTTCTAAGTTCTTTTTATTTTTCATGAAGGGCTGTAAAAAAAAATATATAATATTAAATAATACATAATTATATTAAAACATATAATTCTAGACATGGTAGAATTGTTTAAAAATGTAATAAATTCATATATTAATATTATTTCTGTAAAGAACCATTATAAAATAATAAGATTTTAATTTTGTTAGTGCTTCAATACTATTAAATTAATAATTCATTATTAAAATGTTATTATTTTAAGACTACAGTGGAGTGTCAATTATCTGAACTACAAAATGTTTGTACAAATTTATGTTTAGTTTAATTTTAATTAGTTTTATTGTATTACATACATACATAATATGAAATGTGAGATTATTTAGTTATCTACTATGGTTCACTTTAAGGTAAATATGTATGTACTCTTACCTCTTAAGAGGTTTGTAAATGGGATTGAGTACAAAAGATCACATTTTAATTAAAATGAGGTTTAAAAGAAAATATTGAAAAAAAAAATCTAAATAATAGAAAAACTTGATAAGAGAGAGAGCAGGTCTTTCACTTAATTTTATAATGTAGAGATAAGTCTACTATTGGTGATATAAAATATAAAAAGTATTTTTATTACATGCATCAAAGATGGAATTGACCAATAGAAAATTATTAGAAAAGTAATGAAAAGTGTGACAAATATTAAATAGAAAATATTTACTAAGTTTCAACAATTTTTTAAAGTTTACAAAAAATATCATCAAATTTTTTTTCAACAAAAAATTTGGTGAATCTATTTATTTTATTCAGTAATGGTAATGAAAACAATTTAAATTATTATAAATTTTATTATAAGGTTTTTATAAGTTTAACTAAATAGTAAAACCCAAAAAATTTGAGCATTATAATAGTTTAATAACTATTTTAAGATAAAATGTTAATGAAAATTGTAAAAGCTACGCTATTTCAAAACATGTATAACTGAACTTTGGTCAGAATTGTTCATCGTTCAGTACAGATATAAATTAATCAACTTTATGTATACTACATTCCAACCAATAACCTACGCCCAAAAGAAATATTCACACCAAAACAACCGCAATGTAATGTAACCCAATAATAATAAAATTCCAAATGAGCTTGAACAGTAAATTTTACAAATGTAAGATAATCTAAGGAAGTCGTCAAAATATTAGAAGCAATAGAGAGATGATAACACTGAAGTTCATATGATGAGAAGAGAAAGTAGTTTTACTTATGGATATTAAATATAGATAGAAAGGGAAAAGGAAGATGAAAAGAACGATAGAATTGAGAGTATATAAGGACAACTAAGGTATACATAAATATTATGAGGAAGACTCAAGTAAAGATTATGTAAATTTATTTTATTAGAATACAAGAGTATGTAATTATATAAAAAATATCTCTTTCAATATTTTACTGAACACCTTCTTAAAATTAATTATAGTCTATAGCTAATTATTTATTTAGTTATGGCTACAAACAGCTCAGAGATTTCAGATATTATTTTTGTATTCAAATTTAAAGAAAATCAAAAAAAAAATTATAATAAGCACAATTTAACTTTGAAATAAAAATGAATAAGTGAATTTCTGAAATATGGTGTTTCATTTTTAATAGTTACTTTCTATTAATATACATAAATATAATGTAGTTTTAAGTAGTACATACTTTTGAGCCACCGTCTGAAGTTTCTCTAGTTAATCTCTAAAACAATAATTTAAAAGTTAGTTAAAAAATAATAAAAAATCCAAACTAGAGTTGGGCTATTGACCAGTCAAATTTTGGTCAATTGCAATGTTTGACTTATTAATTAATCTTAAAATTCAAATCAGTTGATTAAAAAAAAATATTTGGAAATAATTATATTCTTAATTCTAAAGTTCATTCTACTAGAACTTTCTATTATGAACTGAATTTCATATGAACATAGAATAAATTCCAAAAATGTGTAGATATATTAAATTATACATTATCCATTAACTTTAACTTTTTAACTTTAAGTAGGTATACAATTATAAAATATTCTAATATTTAATATTCTCAAAAAAAAAAAAAAAAAAAAATTAAAAATTGAATAACATAAATAATTTAATTCATAATATATTTAGGTAGATACATTTATTTAGCAATTGACCATATTTTGATTAACTACTAACCCCTATCTATACTAAATAAGAGATTAAAATATTTGGATAATCAAAATGTTAGCATAATATTTGAATGTGTATACTTACTTCATTTACAGTCACATGTTGATTAAAAGATAAATCAACATTCTGATGTGCTTGTTTACGGTATTTTTTACGCTGAGCCTTAGTAAGACCAAATACAGGTTTCATAAAATTCGGAGTTTGGTTTATTTCTTTTATCACATCAATTTTATTTTCTTCTAGCTATAAATTAAATGAAATATCAACATTTAGTGTATTTAAAATATATGCTTAATATCAATTTATACCTAATGTAAAATGTAAATTTTAGAAATGGCTAATTCATTAGTTATAAAATAATTTAAGCATATTGTATTTATTATTCAATTTATTATTAATGCATACATTATCCCATGATTCCTCTTCATCTCCTCTAGGAGGGGGTTCAGCAGTTATAGGAATGTTTGGACGTACGACATCTTCAGATTGAAAAAAATACTCATCCAATAGATATTTATTCGGGCAATTTTCCTGGTGTTCCTAAAATATAAGATTATAAATAATATTATACAATTCAAAAAGATAATATTGATTGATCTCATACTTCTAACTCAGATTCTGGCACCACATGCAAATTATTAAAAAAACAATTCTTATAATGTTTTGGTCTATCAGGACATTTTATCAAGTGCAGCCCCAATGTTTTGAGTGGCATCGTATGAGATATATTAAATGTGCAATGTACAACTTTAGAGTTCATGGACAAAGTATTTCTATAATAAATAATATAATGTTAAATAAATAGGTGCATGATATTATGTAGTATTTCACAAATATTTGACAAAAGCAAAATGGTTATGCAATAATTCCACTCTTTTATTTCTTGTTAAAACTAAAAATAAAAAATTGTTTTTAAAAAAATCTAAGGATAACTAGCCATTTATATAATAAATTGTTTAGTTTTTAAATTTGTTTAAATTCAAAATAATTTGAATTGTTTTCACTGCCACCACTATATAGGTAATATAAATTGATTTACCAATTTTTCTATGAAAAATAATTTTGTTCATGATTTTTGTAAACTTCAACGAATTTAAAAACTTAACAATTTATTATATAAATGTATTTATAAAATAGATAGGTATATTAGATTTTGTAATAGAAATTATTTTTTTTATAGTTTAAACAAAAATATAAAATATAGGAATCATATTGCAAGGCTTTAGTAACAACTTATCAAAAAATAATAAAATGTTTAAATATTGTACAGAACTAAAGTTATTTTGTTTGTCGAATCTTCTTGAGATACCGCAAATAGAGAAATAATATTTCTAGTAGTGAGCCGATATGACTGTTTTCAGATATTGATATCAAGTATTGAAATATTTGCTATAAATATAAAACTGATAACCAATCTGATATTTGAAATCAAAAACTGTGAGCAGATATTGAAATTATTTGATTTATTAAACACATATCTGATATTTACCAATATTGTTAATGTTACTTTTTTAAACTTTTATTGCTTGCAATTATTCTTTTGATTTGTATTAATAAATTAAAACACTGTTATGAAAATATTGGGTTCAATATAGGTATAAAAATATAACTAATATCCGATATTCACATATCGTAAATATAGGTTTATGCTGATACTCACCAGTAAATATTTTATTTTAATTTATATCATGGCTTATAATAACCAACATTTAAATAGGTACACCTTCAGTATTTTTATTTTGACATTTAGAATTTCAAAGTATATCAAGGTTTTGAAGACAAGTTAACATAAAAACAAAACTTATTGAATATGTTAATAATTCAATATTTTAATTGTCTTTAATTAATATATTATTATAGAAATTTATACACAACTTTCTTTTGGTTTTTTAACTATAAATTATTTGAAATAGTTCTCAGCATTTTAAATATAGGTAATAAAAATTTTAAATGATTACTTTTACGAACATATCTACCTAAAACAATCATTTAACTTCAATATTTTTTACTGTAAATGTATCTGCACATATTGTAGCTTTTTATACAAAATTAATTATTAGTTATAATTAATACCTTAGGAAAATAAATATTCAAAGAATTTTAAATAGAGTATAGTAAAAAGAATTACATAAAATCAGTGTGTACAATTGAATCTTTTTTCAAACTTTATCTTTTTATCTACTCACTTTATTTTTATACAAATTAAAAACCAAACTTCTTGTGTTTGCGCAACCAATAATCAGTCATTTAGTATTAAGAATGTTATTTATTATTTACTATTGGGGCACAATCAATGTTTTCATAAATTGTGTACTTAGCTCTTAAATAATGATTTTTATAATTTAAGTATTGTCAATTTAAGTGGTTAAATAATAATTAATACTTACAATAATTCCATAATTGATATCGGTATAAAGGTTTAAACTTAAGAAATCAAATATCAAATTATAAACAATTTTAACTAATATAGAATTATAATAGTGTGCAATATGTAGAAATTAAATAGAAAGGTACACACAATACACAAGCTTCACGCTTTTCGTTATCTATGAACAAATGGCGCAACACACTATGCATAACATATAAATAATAGATGCCGAGTAATTGATCTAAAGTTATGGTTTTTTATTATTAACCGCCTACTTGTACACCAACATAACAGAATAAAATATCAGTATTATTTGAAATGTTATAAGTATTGTATTCATATACGGATTATACTATTAAAGTAATTTGTTTTACTATTAGTGATACAGTTGTAGGTTATAGTAATTTTTGCTGAAAACGTTTTCACATAACTGTTATCAGGAAATATAAGCAAAAACTATAATACTAGAATATTTTCCCAAGAAAAACCTCTTACAAAGAAACAAAAAAATAACTATCGATACTAGGTTAAATATTTTGTTAAAATAATCGTAAAAATTAAATTCACAATAATTATGTAACTATAATATAAGATAAAATTTATTAATACCCATATGTCCGAAAAATAATATATTTTATAATTTATTTAAAGATTTACTATACAGATTGATGTTATTTAAATCATTTACAATTTATGATAACTAATTTACCCCACAACAAACTTAGCTTCAAGAGGTAAATATATTTTAATTTATTTAAACGTAATGAATTAATTTATGTACTTATGCATGGATTGTACAGATTAAATACAGTTTTAAGTTTATAAGGTTTTATTATAACTTTTAAGATAATAGCATAGTATATAAATAATGAAATCAGTGAAAGACATATTTAAAATGTCATATTATTTTATATTAAAAATAAAAAATTTTATGTTGGTAATGGCAACATTTCAAAATTATTGTTCTTGAGGCTCTTATAATTTTTCGAACTGGTATCCCATAAATAATAGCGTTGTTACCAAGGTATACCATACACAAGATGTACACCTTGATCATACAGTTGGTATTATGTACTATCGATAATTATCCCGAATATTGAGTCAGGGCAATCATGGAGAAAAATATATTATTCCATGATAAGTCATTATTTTATTAAATTAATTATTTCACAGATCTATGGAACATAAATTATTTGGAAAATTGGAAATAATTTTGTGTTAATAGTAGTATACCATTGTAGAAGTCTGTGGCTACACAGTTCACATTAGAACTACTTTAGTAACCTCCTGATCAAAAGAAAATAGATAATTGTGTTCTCTTTTTTTCAAAAAGGCCGTGGCACGTTATATTGTCCATATAGATGTCATACTCTATTATACTGTGGATTTATTAATTATCTTTGGACAGTTGACACAACCATAACATAACTTGCTTTGCTCTGCTCGACTGTTTAGTGATTAGATAAACGATTTAAAATTATAAACCGCCATTTAATATCAGTAAGTTAAATGATTACTTTTAACAGTAAACACCTTAGTTATAGTTAGTTATAGTTAAAATTGATTATTATATATGATTAAAACAAACGACTTAACTCTAATTCTAATTGGTATATAATTATTATGTTTAACTACTTTTTAAATTTGGCAAACACAACCATGAGGATGCTGCATTTTTCTGTACGGATAAATTATAAATATGATTATTATAATAATTTTAAATAATTCAATATTGGACAATGTGTAGGTATTGAAATTTTGATCATGTCCTGTTATACTCTAAATCAATAACTTAAAAATAATCATTTTTTAGACCAAATGTACTTCTGAGTACTATCAATAAATCAACATGTCTAATGAAAGTAAAACATGGAATTACTAAATCAGAGTGTAAAACATATCGCACTTTGTTAAGTTCGTCACATGCTATGGCTATTGTAAGTATTTATCTATAAAAGAATAAATGATGTAAAGTAAATATGAAAATTTTAAAATCAAAAAACCTGTTAAAAAAAACATTTAATTTTGTTATCTAGGTAATACTTAGTTTTATAAAATCAATTATCATTAAAAAGATGTTGAACATGCATTTGAAATATAAACACCCTCTAAATACAGGGTGTCCCACGAAGATATACCCATTGCATTATCTCCCGAAATAATAAAGATAATCAAAATTCCAATTTTTTATATTACTGGAATTAGGACTACAAATATTAATAATGCAATTTATTTTTTATGTTTTAGTGAAAAATTTAAAAAAATGTCTTTATTTTATTATTTTTGAAAAATTTGAGGATTTTATAGAGTTCATTTTATATTATACACTATTTTGAAAATTTGACTTTTCAACTTTTTGTTTTCATTAAATTCTTGATTTTTTAAAAATTTTAAAGTTAAGATAAAAGAAGTGCGCATAAATTAATCGTAATAATAATAATCAATAAGAGAATGCGTTTACAGCCTACCGCATAATTATAAGTACTTTTCTCAGAAGTTTAAAAAATTATTAAAAATTACGAATATATTGAAATTAATAAGGTTATACATCAAAGTGTTCAGAAAAATAAACTATGAATGACCATCTTCAAATTTTTCAAAAATAATAAAATAAAAAGTTACTTTTTAAGTTTTTTTAGCAAAGCATAAAAAATTAATTGCAATATAAATATTTATAGTCTTTATCCTGTGAGTAATACAAAAAAAAAAATAATAATTTGATTATTTTTATTACCTCTGGAGATATTGAATATATATTCGTAAGACACTATATCTAACAGGTAATATAAAAAAACCGTTTTTGTACTTCTAGTCTTCTATAGTCGCATAAACTTGATTTTGATGCTAAAATAAACATGAAAAAATGTACTTAATATCTATAGACCAGTTTTTTTTTTAAATTTGATAATTTACATTTTTAAAAAAATCATATAAAATCTGCAAATAAAGAAAAATCAAATGCATGTTCGATGTCCTCTTAGTATATATAAACTTATGTACATAATGAAATTAATGTATAGAAAGATTTAAAAAAATGTAATATACTCTTTATCTCTGAAATTATTAGTATTTTTCAGATTTGTGTTTTAGGTAATTTAAGAGATAAATAGTTTAGATCTAAAATGTTTAGGTGCACATACCTGTGTATCAAAACAAATATGCAACATGTAACAGTTCAACAAAACTGTTACATCAAAAATTAAAATTTATTACATATGCAGGGTGTACCACGATGATCTGCCACTTAAAATAACTTTTGTTCTACTCAATATTTTTGATATATTTTTTTTTTAAAAAATTATTAGTATGCCTCTGTGCTATTAGCAAATTCCGAAAAAAAGTTAATACTTTCCGAAATAATGGGTGTCTTACGTTATGTTGATCTCCCTGTATCTAGATATTAATCCTTTAAAGCAGTAGTTTTCAACCTGTGCATTGTGACTCCTAGGGATGCCGTGATTTATTATCAAGAGACGATTTGGTTTTTTTCAATTTTTATTATTATCATTATTTGTAAAGGAGCCGCTAATTTGGTTTTCAAAATCAGGAGAGCTGTGAACTCAAAAAGGTTGAAAATCACTGCTTTAAAGTATTAATTTTATTATGTAGGTATTCCGTATTCATAAGCATAGGTACTACATAGTTAAAAAACTTTTCCCACAAAAACTATAATTTCTCACACCACACACATTTATAATGATACCCTTAGACTATCTTATTTTCCAATTGATATTATCCAATTATATTGATTAATCGTTGCATACAGTAGGTGCATAAAACCAAATTACCCTGTATAGCCTACCTTCTCAACTATTTATTTAAGATTAGATCGACTTTTTATTTTATAAATCTAGTTTTTTTCTTTTCATTAAACAAATAAAATTTAAAAATTGGATTTCACTTATTTAGTTTTTAAAGAAAAAAAATTACCCTCGATTTACTGAAATATTAAAACATTACTGGTTCACAAGAGTGCCTCTACTACTTTATTTCCAAGTCAAGCATATACCTAATTCTTATCTTTAAATTGAAAAATGGGTCAATCGCCACTAATATTAAAACGTACATTTGTTATATCACACATTTATAAGACGACACGTGTGGGTATCACATTCTATTAGATTTTATACAGATTTAAAAAAACTTAAGATAAATAATTGAAAATAATGTATTTTGAAAAAAAAAATTTTTTATTGTTATGTAAATCAAACACAATTACTTCAAAAAAAAAAAAAAATCAACCACAAAAGATTGACTGATAAAGTGGACGGTTCGTGATAAAAAAAAAAAAAAATACGAAAATCACCCAGTAAATTTTAAACATTTGTACACGTGAACGGAAATAATTTTAAAGTTTGAAAAACAAAAACTTATAGCAGTTAGGTTATGTTATACATATGTAGGATATGCGATATAGCCATAGGTAGGTATTACATATATCCATTCATAAGTATTTTTTATTAAACAAATAAATAATAACAAACTATTATAATAAATATGTTCCCGTCGTATTATCATTTGCTCTTGAGCCATTGCTCTTTAATCATGTCTGCGGCTTTTTCCGCAATCATTATGACCGGAGCGTTGGTGTTGGCACTGACCAGGGTGGGCATGATGGACGCGTCCACCACCCGGAGCCCGTTGACGCCGTACACACGGAGCTGCGGATCAACCACCGCTGTTTTGTCCCATTCGGGCCCCATTTTGGCCGTGCCCACCGGATGGTATATGGTGACGGTATAGTGCCGGACCATGCACTCCCAGTAGGCGTCTGTGTGCTGCGGCACGGTCACGCAGCCAGGGAATGGTATGCTGTGCAGCCGGCTACCGTACCGACGGAACGCCGCGGTCCGGGACATGGCCACCACGAACTTGACGCCTTCCACCAAAGTGTCGATGTCCTCCTGGGCGGTGAGATAGTTCGGCACGATTTTCGGATACTCGAACGGATCGGGGTTCCGCAAAAGTATTTCACCGCGGCTCTTGGGCCTCAACAGCATCTGGTGTACGAAAACGAAAATCAAAATGCGATTAGAAAAAAAAAAACACACCGCATCCGAAAAATTAAATAAATAATTTCTGTTTTAAATATTTAAAGTTACTCCGGAAAACCATTCTGAACAGTGAGAAGAAGAAGTAGTCAGGAAAAAAATATGTTCGAAAGTTTCTGATAGAGTTTTTATGATGTTAAATACCTACTCATACTTTGATATAAATAATAATTTCAATTCTCTGGGAGAATATTGTTTTCACGATGAAATAATTGATATTGATTTCAAATTTATCCTTTTTATTCACGTTTTCATGAGGAAAATCGTAAAATCGCCTCTCTAAAGTCAAACTCAATTGCCTAGGCATCTTTTGAAGTGTTCCGTACAGCGCTGAATAGAGAATTTATAGGCCCTGGACCTAGTCTTATACTTTTGACTTTGCTCCCCCCCCCCGGTTTATATTTCTGCGGGCACTCTTGTAGGTAGGTCCACCGAGTTTTCGATTTTCATCAGCCCAAAATTATATAAAACAAATAAAATTGACATAAATTCAATTGAAAACAAGTATAATAATTGTGCGTTATCCACCGACATTTCTCGGTAACTTGCCAGTTTAATCAGGACCTGGTTACGTATATTTAAGTCTTTTCAACAACAAATAAAAACATGCACATTATTGACTATTGTAACCAACAATGTTATTACAGAAATTCCGTCCAAAAAGCATACATAATATTATATGTTCTATACACATTATACATATTAGGTATTGTATTAATATAGTGTCACCCATCATCTCATACTTATCGATTTGTATAGGTGGCGAAATGTTAGTTTTCTTCGAATTACAGAAGTTTTCACATGAAGAATCAAGCGTTCAGTTCGATTTAATAGATAGCTACAGGGTGTTCCACAAAGATTCAAAAATACACGCATTACAATATCTTAATAAAGATAATAAAATTCTGTTTTTTTTTTTTATATTACTCGCAGGGATACTGAATACAAATATTTATGCTTAAAAAAAAAAAAAAATAGAATATGTTTATCTTCATTATCTCCGGAGATATTGCAATGGGTATATATCTTCGTGGAGTATCATTTACTACTGTATATTGTTTTTATTATTAATTTTCTAGTTTCTTTTTTTTTCGTATACATCACGAAACAACAGATTCGATTTTTCATCATTTCTATTTGTTTTATTATTCCATAGTTGTACCACCACAACTCCAGTACCCGTTACTGTATATGATTGTATGCATTACAGGAGGAAGACGTCACACCCACGAGTTCGTCACCATTATTTTAAGGTGCACGTCGAAATATTTTTTTCGCTAGTGTTTTGACAGGTCAACATAATATTATTGTAAGTAACTGTATATTGGCATACTGCCTTATTATTATATTTTATGATATTTTATACTACAGACGATTATTATGTATTCGAAATTTTGAAATGTTTGAATGTCTCTCCGATGTTTAAGGAATTTGAATTAGTTTTCAAAATTGTCTTCAACTTTTTGTTTACATTTTAATAATCAGTCATTTTTCCCTGATATACTGTCTGATACCAGTTTATAGGGAAGGGGTACAGCCGGTTTTACGAACGAATATGACGTTTTAGACGGAAAAACCGGATAAAACTAGACGGACCAGGTTCGATAGATTTTAATTTTGAAACTTAGTTTACTAGGTTATGACAGAGACGATTTTAAACATGTATTTTTTTCAGCTGAGATATCGACAAACAAAAATATGGTATTTGTCTATATTCTTTACAATAATATATAACATGTAAATATGCAAGTACTTTTAGTTCAAGAAAAATTTTAAATTGCCTCCGTCAAAATCGAGTAAACTTGTTAATTATTCCAAATCCAGGTGCTACAGATTACAGTTCGATCGGTCTAAATACTACTTTTTTTTTCAACGACTGCAATCCCCTTAACCAGCTTAGGTATAGGTACAACCACTAAATAATATTAAAAACTAGCTTCGTCATTATCCAGATAATATTCTTAATATTACACAAAGTAGGTCTGTATAAATTATAGCCTATAGTTTCAATAATTATTTGTAGTAAGTAATATTATATCACTTTATAATAAAAGACGACTGAAAACAGCGTGACGTCCTCTTAACGCGGTTCATCAGACTTGCACATTACTATCATAGTACCTACTCTCTGTGTAACAACTCTACATACTACGTTAAATATGTTACTTCTAAAAATTCATTCCACATTAATATACAAAACACCTTTAATAAGTAATGCTGTCAGCAGACCCATAATACAATATTTTATATTTTAGGAGAAAATTTGACAATCCATCTTTATTAAATTATTTTTACTTACAGGTATAGCGGACCAAACGTCTTTGTTGTTGATTGGTTCGTAAACGGTTTTGTAAAAATTTTCTTTAAGCCCGTGCGCTTTCCATAGCTGCACACCGCCGTCGGAATTCGTGGAACCGGACACAAAGTGCAACTCTATGTCCGGTTGGTCGACCGAACGGTTAGCGTACTTAGTGTTGATAAAAGCCAATCCCTCGACGCCTCCCATGACTGTCAACGGTCCGTCACCCATCGTGGCGTAGTTCAAAACCGTTTGAACATTTTCAACCCTTTCTTGCGTTAGAGATATCTAAAATAATCCATATTAGTAATTTGTATACATATTTTTTTATCAAAACGATATCTAATTAATTTATATCTCGACTTGGGCAGTGATGTGTATAGTTGAAAAATAAAATGTATGGTATTTCACGTCCGGTTTTAAAACGAAAAAATTTCAATTACCTCTTTGTTAATGAGAAACGCTAGACCGCCGAGTCCCACATGATCTTGAAGGTTTTTCCCGACGTCCAAATCGGCCAAAACGGGTATGCCCATTTCTGTCAAGTGATCCTTGGGACCGATTCCAGAGAGCATGAGCAGCTGCGCGGATCCGATAGAACCCGCGGACAATATCACTTCTTTGCCGGCTCGGATAAAGTACCGGGTGTTACCTTTGATGAGCTCAACGCCGTATGCGACCTTTGTCGTCGGATCCAAGGCCACGCGGGTGACTTGCGCGTTTATAGACACGTGCAAGTTCTTCCGAAGCCTGGCCGGTCTCAGGAACGCCTTGGACGTACTGCATCGGGCACCTCTCCTAATCGTCCCCTGCGGAATCATGAAACCCGTTTGTCGTTCGCCGTTTATATCCCGTATGTCGTACCCCATCTCCTGGCCGGCCCTGATGAACGCGTCAGCCAGCGGCGTCTTGTAGGGCGCTTCGGACACGGTCAAGTAACCGCCCATCGAATGGTACGGTGTTCTGGCCAGGTAAGGATTCCGATTGTCCTCGGACTTTTTGAAGTAATACAGTACGTCGTTATATCCCCAGCCCGGGTTTCCCTGCTTCAGCCAATTGTCGTAGTCCATTCGGTTGCCCCGCACGTACATCATGTAATTCAGCACGCTGGACCCACCTAGCACTTTGCCCCGTGGCCAGTTACACCGTTCGTCTTTCATGGCTACGATACAAATTCGGATTGTTAATCAAATGATAGGTCACTATTGTGTATATGAGAAAACAGATAATACAATATTCAACTATACATCGAAAAACAAAATGTGTTAATTGTGTAAAAGTGTACGGGATGTAAACTGAAATAGCAGAGGTCATGGTAATATGCCGTAATAGAACTTTACCGTGATTGATAACAGAATTGATGAATCAATATTCCGTTTAAAGACTATAAATCTAAGAAAGTTAGGAGTTACATCTTCATATTCCACTTAATGAAACTATCCAAATTACTTTAATTTTTTTTTTAAGTGTTAAGATGAAAGAATGTTTGATTATTTTTACTAAACTGACCGGAAAACCGGTTTCCGAGAAGGAATAACCATGTAGCAAATAATTAACAGCTAGATGGTAATTATTACTTGTGACAATTGCTGCTCCAGTGTAAAATAGAATTCGATGTCTTGTAAAACCGTAAGTCGTGTATAAATCGGTATATTTATTTCAATAGCCGTTTTTAAAACATCAATTATATTACAAAAGCAAGCAAATATATTTGCTACAGTGTATAGCTATTCACATCATCGATTTGCACTTTTTAACTACATTAAATGGTGAAAATTACACTCGGATGAAAAACTGGTAACGATCGAACTTCACTTACGACTAAAAAGGTTTAAAAACAATTCATTCCCTTCTAACTTACGGTTTCCCGGCGGATAATTGATAGCGCGGTCAACTTATAGTGCGTAAATTGATCGCGAGCGACTTTTCATAGAATGACAATTTATAGCGTCGTACCGAATAAAACCAAAACCGATAAATATATCAATATACACTAAATATAACTATCTGAAATAATAGGCAATAAAGATAATGAAACTATTATGCTATACTATATTATGCTTAGTTGCTCAGTCGGTATAACAACCGTATAACAGTCTACACTTAATAGTTACATAGTAGTTAAAATTTTAAAAAATCTTCAAAATATATTAAAAGTGAAAGGGGATCAAATTTATTAGTTGATGTAGGGTTTCATGTATCATTACGAAAAAAATCGAGTACAAAAGACAATATGGAGATGCGTACGTTTAAAAAATAAATGCCGAGACCGCGTTCATGTTATTGGTGATCTCAATAATAAAATATTTAAAATAAAATTTACCATAACCATATTCCTGATATTACGCAAATAGAAGTTAAAACTGCAATAAATGAGATAAAAATAAATGCAATATGCACATTTAATTCCACGCATTCAGTCAATGGAAGACTTGCTCTCAGGTACCTACTATTTTTATTTAAATGTTATTATTAAGGTATCTGCTTCAGTTGCTAGACAATTACCATACGAATCAACTCAAAAAAGTACCGTTCAGAAAGTATCAATCTCATTTAGGAGCTTCAATAAATCCTCAAAATTTTTATTTTGAAATTCCAGACCGATTCGTGAACAACGAATGGTGACAAATTGAATTCTATTCTGTATAAAACGAAACCTCGAATTAACAGATAAATGTGAAAATTGGTGTCACGACTGAACATTCCCATGTGCCCATAAAATATTTTAACAAATTCATACTATTCACGCTGTTTATTATTCGAATTTTATTCCATCCGTGTATATTTTACTACCCGATAAAAAGAAAAATACATAAAAATTTTAATGTTTCAAGCTTTGAAATCTAATGATTTCAAAGGTATTAATATACCTAATATAAACCCACTTAATATAACGATGGACTTTGAAAGGGGGACAATGAATGCTGACAAATTTGAGTTTCCGAATGCATCTATAAATGGATGTTTTTTTCATTTATCACAATGTGTATGGCGGTGTCACGTTTAAGAAACTGTATTACAAAAAAATATAGGAAATATTTAGATTTTGCATTATACATACGAATGTTACCAGCTTTGACGTATGTATCAACAAATAAAGTTGTTGATGCATTTGAAAAACTTTTAGAAACGGATTTTTATATTCAAAATAAAGAGAAAATGATGCCATTAATAGATTATTTTAAGGGAAATTGGATTGATCACTTATACAGAAATAAAAAGAGAAGAGACCCTAATTTTCGAATAAATATATGGAACTGCTATTCTTTAGTGTCTGCTGATTTACCCCGAACAAATAACTTCGTAGAAGGATGGCACAATTGTTTTTCTACAATGTTAAACTCTTCATCATACCCAACAATATGGAAGTTTATAAATGCGTTACAAAAAAAGGAGCAAATAAACAGGATGAAAATAGAATAATATAGAACCACCGTCAAAAAAATTGTATAAAGATCGGAGTGCTAAAATCAAAAAAAAATTATTACATTATGACAATATAGAACAATTAAAAATTATCTCAGAGGTATAGCACATAATTTCCAGCTACAGGTAAAATTTTATCGTAGTTGTCTAACCTATAAATATCGTCAAATTTTATACAGGGTGATTTACTCAACTGGAAACACTTGGAAAGTAGTAACTTTTTTCGAAATTTTTTTTTTTAAAAACTTAGGAATCAAATAATTCTAAAATATTAAATTATAATTTTTTACCCCTTATTTTTGGAGGTGAAATGACTGCCTAGTTTTGATTTTCAAATGGCAATCTATTTTGAAAATGCCTTACATAGATAGATAAATTTTGGTGTTGAAATTTTTGATTTCCGTCAACCCGTTGACGAGATAATCCACTTTTAAGTTTCGGTTGGAGGAGAGTAGTGGAGTATCATTTGTGTGGCGGTACGACAGTAATGACAGTCATTTCACTCCCAAAAATAAGGGATACAAAAAAAAATGACAATGTAACATTTTAAAACATTTGATTCTTAAATTTTCAAAAAAAAAAAATTCGAAAAAAGTTAATACTTTCCGAGATAATGGGTGTTTTCAATTAAGTGTATCACCTGTATTATACTTTTATTATGTATCTAAATTTTAATTGTGACTTGTAATATTTATTACTATAGTCATTTATTTAATAATTGTTTGGTTTTTGAATTCTATACGGCGCTTCAAATTGTCTTACTATGAAAAGTCGCTCGCGATCAATTTACCGCTCCCAATTGTCGCACTATCGGTTATCCGCTATCTATTGACGCATATCCCTAACTTAAAGACTTGCTTACGGGATTGACTGCTTACGGGTTTAACCGTTTGCATGGTTAAAAATAATTTTTTTTTCTTTAAAAAGCATGTTTTTAACTTGTAAAATTATTACTGATGTTATTTGAAATTGTTTTTGTAGTAATATAAGAAACTGAATTTAAATGCTCTTTTTTGGTAATTGATTTTTGAGCATATATATGGGCCATAAGCTTTTTATTTATTATGTATATCCCGTAAAGAAACTAATTTTTAACCAACACCTATCTTGACGAGTGCAGTTCGGCCATTACATGTTTACATAATTCTGTTCCAAATGCAATTAGGTCGTTATCTTTTATTGTAACCCGAGTGTAATATAGATCTTATCCGTAACAAGAACTATACACGATCATGTAAACTATTTAAAAACCGTAAAAAAAAAGACGAATATTTAGGTACTCGCGCCATATTTCTTTCTCTTGTCATTTCGATTCATTCACTTACCCAAACATGCGGTGTCTTGGGGTTCGGATTTGTATTGCCAGTCAAGTTGTGTGAGTTGTAAGTAGGCGGCCAACAGAGGCACGTCGGATATTTCCGTTTCATCTCCGCCGGCTTCGATCAACAATACGCTCCAATCGTCAATTTCTGTCAACCTATTCGCCAATACTGCACCTGTTGCACACCGCGCGTGCGATTAATAATATTTTTTAATCATGATTAGAACTACCCCTTTCCCCCCACCACAAAAATCATAAAATAATAATGGTTTCCGGTAAATGATCATGAACAATAATTGAACGTGAACCATCATTAACCGCCAGTGAATTTATCATGTCTACAAAATTGGTCGCCGGTTAAGTGATTTTCAAAATAAAAAAAAATACATGTTTATATTAATTAATCTTTTTTTTTTTTTGTTTTTATCAATTTAATTTTGTTAAGTCGTTTTCCATAGCCACACTAATACTTTAAGTATTTATACTTAGTATAGTTTATTTTATAATATAGAATTAAATAAAATGTATTTGTTTTCTAATGATGATTATTATTACTATTATTATTATTTTTTTATACTGTGTACACAATTTCTACCAGAAATCTTATTTCAGTGTATCAAGTATAGAACATTTTCCGAAAGGAAATTATATCTAGTTGGTACTTTAGAAAGGTATTTTTTTTATATGCTAAGCAATTTTCATATTAATTGAAAAAAAACCGGGGAAAAGGGAAAATTTACGAAAATAATGCTTTTATTGTTGTAAATTCAGTTTAAAATATTCGTAGAGTCTTGAAATTTGTACAGGAATCTTATATTTGTTTTTTTAGACGTGGTAAGGTTTTCAAAAAATATAAGCAATTTTGAGCTATTTATAGACATTTTCATTTTGCGAGTTTTTTACGTAATAATTATTCGGTAGGTAGTTCGAGGATAAAATTATTAGACCAGACAGAAAATATACCTGGAGGTTCATTATAAGTTGTATTTAGAGGTCAACAAGAAAAAGTTGAGTTTAAAGTAGTAATTTTTTTTTATGAATTTTAATATCGAATTTTGACGAAAATTGTAAATATTACGGCCATTTTAAATCATGTATAACCGAACTCCGCTCATAATAGTTTTTTATGAGCAATGATTAATTGTTTCATATAAAAATACATTAAATTTCTTTCTGTATCCTACCTTTTCAATTTATTACTCACACACTCCACTCATCGTGCGAAATATGTCTATCTCTTTTTCTTTTTTTTATATAATTACTATATTATAGTTATATTAAATTAAATTCGTTTATATGGTTTCATTAATAATGCATAATGCAGTATAGAAGACACTTTTTAAATTTAAGTGCTCCCTCCGTAAACAGATCCTGGATCCGTCTGTGAATCCGCAATTAATTATAGAATACATTTAACGTACTGTTAGACTTATACACGAATTATAATCCATAATATGAAGATTAAACTTATACTTTATACACTTTTGTAATATAATTAAAATGTATTTATTTTTACGACCAATTTGCAGTTGACGATCAATTCACCGCGATTCAATAATAATATTCACCTGCCGATCCCGCGCCGACTATGATAAAATCGTACTGGCTGAGGAACAATTCGCCGGGCTGGTCTATGATCCTCGACTCCGGATCGTTGATCTCGAAATGGAAGTACGCTATGGCGGCTACCAGGACGGGCAGGAACCAGGCTACTTGCGACGCGGCCCCCGCTATCGCTCCAACCGCGGGTATAGCTTCCACGCCACTCATAAGTACCGCATGTTATCACAACGGCTGCTTTATTATATTATTGTGTTATATATAGAAGAATTTATTGTCGTCTATAGTCCCAGGCAATAAGGGCTTAAGTCGATTTTGTATGGTTTTCAATATACAATCAAATTAAATTTCGAAAATACGTATACACTTGTGCACACACTATAATAATAATACACTCATTTTGAAAACGCATACACTTATGTCACAATAAAATAAAGGGGAAGAAATGATGATACATCACGGTGTAACGTTGAACAGAAAAAACCCAAAAAATTAACTGAAGCCTTTCTTCGCTGGGACCAAAGATATTATAATAAGAATTTAGGACTGCCGGGGGCAAAATATCGCGATCTGACGTTCGAGAGAGGTCACTATCGTGTGTTTCGGCGACGGTGAAACTACTATTAGGTACCTACCTCTATCCAATGACGATAGTGCCAATTACATTATTATTATTATTATTATTTACCCGGTTATAGGTATTTAGGTACGCGGCAGTGGCGGAAGTGGCGAAAAGAAGAAAGGAACGGCGCCCGGCGACGTGACGACAGACACGTAGGTATTACCTGCAGTGTTTATAAGTATTTCTAACCTAATTTTTTTTTTTATTTGCACGCGATTCGCAATAATATAAAATCCAACGGACGAAATATCGTTTTTTTTTTCCCCAAACTATATACCTATAGAAGATGATATTATAATATAAAATAATAACTCCGCTATAATAGATACATCGATATTGAATATCGGTAAAGTAGACCAGACAAAATATTGCATATAAATAATACTATTATTTATCAATATAATAACTGTGTTCGGGTAATAATATTATACGGGCATAGGTTTCACTGTGATTATTTCGTTTTTTTTTTTTTTTCAGGGGAAAATCTGAATCTACCTACTTTAATATTTATTTTTTACGATTCCGCGCTGTATAGATATTTTAGTACCTGTATAATATTACATACCTATAGTGCCCAGGAAATTTCAATGGGAGTGGACATAGTGAATAATAATACCTATCATGATTCATGAACAAATTGTCGAGTATTCTTCTGTTATACGGCATACCAGAAGAATTAGGGTTATGTATAAGTTATACCCAACCCGATGTATAAGATCAAAAAAAATCAATTTGTTTATCAATAAATCAATCTTTTTTCATTGTAATTTCGATATAAAATTACTAAATAAATACTCATATACCTAACCGTTGTATTTTTAAGCCAATGTGAGGCGAGTATAACCCCTAATCTCTCACCGCTGCGCACGCCACTACCCATACCTAGTGTTTTTTTTTTAAATTTATTCAATGGTTGTGGAAAAAAAAATTATAAACTACCGTAAAACAATATTATAAATAATTATTTTGTAGCCTATTATACTGTAAAACACATACCGATTTTTCCAATGGAAAAAAATACCCAGATTCAACGCGTTTTCGTTACATAATAAAAAAATAAAAACTTCAATATTCTGCTTTAAATAACAATACTATAAATAGGCACACGAAAATATCGCACGCAACTCGCGCACGACAATAATTGAGGTTCGCGCGGCGGATTCATTGTCACGTCACGTCACGTCACTTCGGTCGCGAAAATCGTAATTGCCATTGGTAGTTCAATACGAAAACATATACACTAATAATACAAATATTACACTACGAAAGTGTAGTTACACGATTAGTGTAACATTATTAATTAGCGTATTTGATTATTGACGGGATTACGTTTTACGAACACTACACACCGTATACCTGCGTCCGGATCAACGACCTTACACACTGACATTGAGACGAGCGTGTACAGAACCGTGCAGCATAACGGTACTCGTGCTCCAAGAAATCCACCTCTCTGCGTCGTTGGGTCTCGAACCAGTTTGAATTATTATGGTGGCGCTCGTCATTCGCATCACGCTATTACTTATTGTATTATTATAAGTCTAAAGACCGAGAAAAATTCAATAAACATTTTCGATTTTTCTTCAAACGTGCGGATATCGCGGTGACGTTGCCACATTCGCGTCAAAGATAGCAAACAATTCACGAAAATGGTCGGAAGAAAAAATGAGTTTAAACTACTTAGGTACCCAATCATATTATTATTACTCGTATCGAATTTTCCTCGGTCAAATATAATAGCTATGTTGTTATTATCTATAAATCGGCGTGAAAAATAAAATAAAAATATTATAATAATTCACTCTGCGAGTGATTTTACAAACAGTACCATTATAATATTATTCTACTTAATAATATGATATTATGCCGAACCAGTTTTCATCGTATTTACCGAAATACAATTTGGAATACATATTTATAAACAGTAAAATAAATTTGGCGTTTTATTTTTTTGCGTGGTATAATCGACGTTAAAAAATATCATATACTATTAAAAAATACGGAAATCGGTTACATACCAAAATGAAAAAAAAATACAATTTGCTCGACGTTGAAATGAGTCCCGTAGCACACCAATAAGACACTGCTTTTTCGGAACAGTTTCATACATATTTTATTACCAATAGGTTTAATTAAACAATTATAATTAATTAATAATCATAATTATGATACCTCTTCCCATAGGTATTATTCTCATAGGTAGGGATAATGTTATTATGTTCTAAATTTAGTTAATAGTATAATAATAAAATCGAATTAATATTAGAAAATCCCACGGTTAACAAAACTAAATAGTAGGTACCTATGAATACATTAATTAAAACATTTAGGTACTATAGTAAAATGAGCCGTTCATTTACGAAGAGATATGAAATTGTATATTGTATAATTTTAATACCTATGCATCATGGTGCTATGTAAGAATCAAGAACGAACATTTTAAGCGTTTCAACTTTTAACCCTGCCCTCTTTCCAAATAATTTTATGATCAAATTGCATGCTTAAAAAGATGAACATACTTTGCACATGGGTGCAGTTACTGTTGTAGATGGAAAGTTGGGCAGGAAGGATATATAATGGAATTTAATATACATCTATAAGCAACGATAAACCATTTCCAATGAAAAAATGTTTCTGAGCGGAGGTCAGTTGATAGTAATGTTTTTTTTGTCATATTAGTGTTGCTTTGTCAACAATATATATGCAACATTAAAGTAAAACAATTACATAGGTATGCATTAAACATTTTCTTTAATAATATTTGTTTAATATTTTACCTATTTTCCTTATTTATCGGGAAAACTCCTGGGAAAAAATAAAAAAATAACTTAATAGAAATATATACCCGCATCTACTGTCTTAGTCTAACTTCTAGGTAACATAAATAAAAAATACTTACGAAGAAGTAAAACTAGCTTAATTTTGATTTTAGAGTAAAAGTACCTATAATAAAATGTATAGAGAACAATATTTTGGAGGTAATGTCATAGGATATTTGTATTATTCAAAATATACAGCTTCATATAAAAGATTAAAAAAACCTTTATTTTATTGCTTTTTTAAATAATTGTAACTGTAACTTTTTTAATAGTTCATAATTCAAAACATACCAATGATATTCCCTTCAAAATATTGTTCCCTATAAATTGCTTAATAGGTACTTTTATTCTAAAATCAAAATTAAGCTAGTTTTACTTATTCTGCATAAGCATTGTTTTTGTATGTTACCTGGTAATTGGACCGAGATAGTTGATGCGGGTATAATGTCTTCTTAATAATAAATAAAATAAAATTTAGTTTCATTTTAAGCATTTATTTTATGTTTATACTTTTAGATTTTCAGTGGAGCAAAGAATGTATTGGTTTTAAAAGAAAATCTGTAGACTAGAAAAATACATGAAAATGTACGAAATGTAGGTATTAAAACAATTTTGCAGCACTTTTTTTTCCTGTGAACAACTTTTCTATCGGCAATTTTCTCCAATTTACAATAATGGCAATTTCTCTGAAAGGAAATCTGACTGAGGAGGTACTTTAGGAAAGTCATTTTGATTTTTGATTTACCCAGCTGTTTTCATAATAATTAGGAAAAACCCAGGTAAAATATGGGAAAAATCAGGAAAATAGGTATAATAATAAACAAATATTATTAAAGAAAATATATAGTACATTTGCAATTATTTTACCATAATATGACTTATTATATTATATATTGTTGACAAAGCAACACTATTAACCGAACTCTGTTCAAAATCGTTTTGTCGTTAGCAATGGTTAATCGTTGCCTACACATATATACATTAAATTTCCCCTCTACTACCTTCCCATTTTCACACCTCCAATTGTGACTCACTCACGTGCGAAGTATATCAATCTTTTTTGTAGTTATACTAATAAAAGTATATGTTGGTACATATGTAATAATAGGTGAAAAATTGTTTTAAATGAGATACTGAGTAGAATATGAGAATGGTAACAAAATTTCAAATAGTTAAAACGCGTATCAATATAGAAATTTTACTTGAAATATATTTATATATTATTATTACAACCCAAGGGCATTAACGAGTTAAAAAGTTAAAGTTTAGTTAATTTTAAAATTTTAACTTAATAGTTACTTTTAGGTTTAATTTATTTAATTATTAACTTGGCTTACCTAATTGTCTATAAATTAAGATGAAAACAATGAAATACATTTTCATTTTACAAAGTTAAGTTAATTTATTTTATTTAAAATTGGATTTATTTTATAATATTTCAATTGGTTTTGTTTTCATTGGTACCATAAAAGTGCGAATAAATGTTAAGTTATTAATAAGTAATAACTTATTGGGACTTTAATTATTAAGAATTGGTAGGTTGTCATAAACCGTGGCGTAGTGAAAGGGTTTTTATGATAAATAATGCCTAGACGTTGTGATCCTGTACACCACTTTCTAATTTCAGGTGCGATAATACATGTCACTGGACGCTGCAGCGTTTATATTTTTCTATCATTCTATAATTAAAAGTTTACCGCCAACCCAACTCCCCGACGTAGGGTAGGTATACTGAATTATATGTTAGGTGTCATTGGTTTGAAAATGTTCACCACGTCACTGGTCACAAACACAGTGGCATTGAAGTTCTAAAAAATTAATCAGATGAAACACATTTATAGAGGCCCTAATACAACTTAACTAAATTATATAGAAATACTGTATAAACCCTAGTTTTTGTTTTGACTTTGTAAGAAATAAAGTAGGCTAGTGTAATAAATTTAAAAAAGATTAAAAAACTGAAATAAAAAGGTTTTAGAATAAATTGATATTAAAATTCTTATTAAAAAAAAATTGTAAGTACATTACACTCATTTTTTATTTTTTTATTATCACAATAAGCATGACTTATAATAAATCAATTGTTAAATTTTAAAGCATTTCTGTTAGGTCTACCAATTTTATCTATAAAGTATTTAGCGAATAAAAATTACATAAAAAACTCACAGAATTAAAATGTCTGCAAATCGCTCGAAAATATTTTGAAAATTTTACTAAGTCTAGAAAAGGCAAATATAATCTTTAGTCTAAATTTCAAGTTTCTACATACAATTTTGCTGAGTTATAATAAAAAAAAAAAATTTTAAATAAGAAAATCATTATTTTCATAAATTTTCACGTTTTTTCTAATACGATTATGAAAACTGCTTGGAAAATCAAAATATGATCTCTCTAAAGTACCACTCTGACAAAATTTATTTTCAAAATAAATATCATTGTAAAACTAATACATTCCTCAGAATCTAAAAGGTAGATGATAAGTATTTTACAGAATAACTATATTTCATTTGGATTAGCATTTTTTTTGCTATTTTCTATTTGAATTCAACTATATATTTAGTGAAATCTGCTATTTTTCTGACTTCATATTTTTGTTGTATAAGTATTTGATTTTGTTAAAAGAGGGAAGTCAATTTTCATTTTAGTTTGTTGAGTGATAGTACATGATTTATTTCTATAGACTACACCCAATTAATTTTTTTGTTTCAAGATTACCCAATTTTTCTTGTACTAGTTTTCATTTAGTATGTTTCTTTTTTCTTTTTTTCCATTAAATACATTTCACATTTCATTCTTGAATTTTGTACACAATTTTATAGATATTTTATTTTGTTAACATCAAATACATAAATTACAGAATCTTTGAAGCTATTATCATAGACAATTCTTATAGATTTAATTGTTTTATACTTCAAATTTATAATTATCATTTTTTTTTCAACAAAAATTCAAAAATTTCCAAGATACATATGAACCCTATTAACTGAGTTTAAAAAATCATTAACTTACCAAGACCCTTGTTTTGTCTATTTTTTCCTCAATGCCATCACTAGATTTTGCAAGACCCTAGGTAAAATATTTTAATTTTTGAAATAATTAATTTATTTCAAAATTTCTAAATCAATCGTTTATTATAAATAATTATTTGAAAATAATATAATAATAATACTACAAACAAAATGGTGAATATAATTCTTAAATTTAAAAAAAACCTCCACTTAATTTTCATACTTCAGTGAATTTTAGACAATCCGGAAATTTGAATCTGAAACCAAAAATTAATTTTATTTTTATATTAATACATAACTACACATTGTGAAATTATAAATTATTATTATAATAGATCATAAATAATATTATTATCAATTATATTATATATAATAAATCCATCTTCACATCCCCAGAGAGAAAAAATTTACTTTTTATGTTTAATTGAATTTTTCATGGATATTGTAAGATATTGAGAAGTAGTACCTTTTTGTTTGGCAACTGTTAACATATCAAAATATTGTAATATTCCTTACATAGGTAAGTAAGGAAGTCAGGAGGAATATATCCTCCTTTGTCCCTCACCCTCAATCCACATACATATACAATTATACAAATATTTGTAACTATAAAGGTACCTATATCTTATATACCTTATTTAACATTTAAATTTATAACAAATATTTATATTAACACACACTTTATTTTAGATGTATAATTTAGGCAACGGGATTGATTTATATAGTAAAGCACAAACAAAGTAGTGTAAAGTTTATTTTTCCAAAATTCAAAAGTATACAACGACGGACATGATTTAATAGAAGATAGGTATCATTTTGGAACTATTAATAAAAAAAAGGTAAGAATACTCTATAGATTGAATTAATGGTTTTTCTTGAATTTCAGAATGTATCTTATCATTTTAAAAATGGGATCATTCATAAATAGGTACATATAATGTGTGTCTCACAAAGATATATCCATTGTAATATCTCTGGAGATAATAAAGATAATACAATTCTATATTTTACTTTTACATTTATTACTCATAAGGATACAAGGACTACAAATATTTATATTAAAATTAAAAAATAACCATTATATTAATTTTCAAAAATTTAATGTGTCAACTTTTTAGTTTCATTAAATTTACGATTATCTTTTTTTTTTAAAGTTCAGAGAAGAAATGTGTATAGTCAATTAACCATAATAATTAGAGAATTTGATTACAGCTTGTTGTATAATTAAAAGTAATTTTTTCTTAACTAAAAATATTAATAAAAATCATGAAGTTAATGATAATAAAAAGTTGAAACGTCAACATTTCCAGAAGGATAAACTATAAAATGACTATCTTTAAATTTTCCGAAAAAAATAATAAAATAAAGTTATTTTTACCAAAACATACAAATTTAATTCAAGTATAAATATTTGTAGTCTTTATCCCTACGAGTAATATAAAAAAAAAAACAGAATTGTATTATCTTTATTATCTACAGTGATATTACAATGGGTATATCTTTGTGGGACATCATAATAATTAGTTAAGGCTGCCATTTGTCCTGAACAAAAATGTTTTAAATAATGTTTATAGATCATTTCAATAAATATTATTGCTTCCGTTTTTAGTTTCACACCAATGAATTATAATAATAAAATAATAATCTAAGTATTATAAGTTAAAATTTTACTAAAATGTAAAACCTTTAATAAGTAAATACAAGAACAGGGAAAGTTTTATTTTCTCATGCATGGAAAATTTGTATCTTTTTTTAGGTAATGGTTTTTATGCCCTTTTAAATTATTTCTATTATTTTGTTTTATATTATAATTTAAACTATATTATATTATTTTATTAATATAATACGAGTATTATATTGTATTTTTTTTATGTTTCTATTATTATTATATTATCATAATATCTTCTTAATAAAACTTAGTGATAAATTAAATTTATGAATTGTTTATACATATAAAACCGGAGATCAATATTATTGTCCATATAAACATTGTAAACAATATTATGATGGGAGCTGATTGTCTGTATATGACTGTTTTTTATGGGGACTAAAAATTATATAGATCCATAATTTATACCTTCATTGATTCTGTATTTTCTACCAACACATCGACAGACTTTCTAAGTAACAAACGGAGTTCTTTGACAATTTGCTTGGCTTCTGGCGATTCAAAATTATTGTATTTATCGAATCCAACAACTTCATTCGACACAAAATCTATAGTGATGAGAAATTTAGCCAATGCTTTTGTGGGCCTTTCATCGTTAATGTCAGATTGGTTATTCAACTTTTCTAAACCTTCTGACCATTTCATAAATTGTGTTTTCAATGTAGTCACTTCTTCCGAATTCGTCATTTTCGTCTACATAATAAATGCATAGGTATATATATTATATTATGTAATACATAAATTTAACTAAATCATTATCAATTGTATTTATTCAAAAAAATATAAATACAAGGATTATATATTATCAATTATTGGCTATTGCTTTATGGAAGTAGTACATATAAATAAATGTTTTACAATTTAGATTTTTAAAGATTTATTTAAGGCAAGTACTTACATTTACTTATTTAGTGTTAACAAATTTATCATTTTGATATTGTAATGCTAGGTAAGGATCGAGTAGCTAATTAACAATTTCGAAGACTACACTTATAAATTTATTGGGTTTAAATATACAATAAATAACTAAATTATAAATGGATAAAGGAGTATTTTTAATTTTAGTAATTTTGAATTCAAAGTATAAAAGTTTAATTGACATTCAGTAACAATGGATTCCTCAATGGGTGAGCCAAAAATAAAATAAAATTATGGGTGTTTTTTAACTTTTCGTTCAAGAAAAGTTTAGTTAATTGTGTTTTGATAAACTTAATGAGAAAATAACAATTATTCGTGTTTTTAATATTAAACAAATTGGAAAAACCAGAAAAAAAGGCAAAATGTATGAAATGTTGGTATTAGTAAAATAATATTATTAAAGAATATTTACAAGGTGATTCACTAAGCATGATTACCCCATTATTTTGGTTAAATTTTGCATGTTATACTCAAATTCTGTTTTTTGAAATTTTCAAGTATAATTAAAGCCAACATTTTCCAATACTTAGATTTTTCACATTTAAGGCATTTTAAGGAGTAGTTATCATGTTTTGTGATATCAACTTTGATTTTTAAAATGAGAACCTTCATTAAAAATGTCATTAATAGATGGAGACATGGAGTATTACTTTAAATATATTTTAGTATCAACATTTTTTTATTTTCGTTAACCTGTTGACGAGATATTTCACTTTTAAGTTTAGGTAGGGAGAGAGTAATGAAAAAAATGGAATGAACTCGCTTCATGAATCATCCTGTATAATGCACATGTAATTATTTTACCATAATGTAACATATATATTGTTGACAAGGCAACACTATTTTAAACTAACTTAGCTCAGAAACATTTTTTTGTTAACAATGGTTAATTTACCTTCCCAACTTCTCTACTATAACAGTGGCCCAACCACGTGTGAAATATGTCCATCCTTATGACCTCCCTAAAGGTACCACCCCAGTCAAATTTCCTTTCAGAAAAAGTGTAAAGATAGCATTGTAACACAGAGCAAAATTGCTGGTAGAAATGTTGTTCAACGATAAACAAAACAAAAATTAACATCATTGTAAAACCGCTCACTCCGTTCAGAATCTCATAAGCGTAGAAATCTAAGATTTTCACAGAATACTTGTATTATAGTTTTTCCTTAATGTAGTTATATTTTCAAAACATTCTGTTATTTTTTAAGCTATTTATAGCCTTAAAAGCACTTAACACTTTAATGTAATTTTAGGTTTTATTTAGTTTTACGTGAACAAAATTGTTTTAGCCAAGCAGAAATGTTTAAAAAATTTAAACTAAGTTCATCAAAAGTTGTTTTTTGAGTATCCAAAAAAATGTAAGGCATTATGTAGTATTTTTTGTACATGACAAAATTTCAAACTTTTACGGAAATCGTAAAAATCATGTGGCATTTCATGTAGGTATCATTTATAAATTTATATAATATTTTAATTTACCCAAAATACCTATTCAAATATTTAACAGTAGGTTTATAATAATTTGTACATGATAGTAAAACCAAATAGTTAAGTGTCACAGGGTAATTTTTATGAGCTTTCTTATGTTAAAATTTTGACGAAAATTGTCATTCCAAAACTCATTTTGAACCAAACTTCGCTCAGAAATGTATTTCATTGCTAATGATTTATTGTTTCATACTTATATAAATTAAATAATTTGATATGGGGATTAATTGTGTTTTTGGGGAGGGAGGTCCTTCTTATTTGCACCAATAAGGCTCAGTATGTAAAATTTGTCAAGTGTGTCACGGAGGGTATTTACAACACTACAATCAGCATTCATTTTTATTATAATATAATACTTGATTGATTAATTTGGCCAGTCCGTTTTCTGCGAGTTTTGTAAAAATATCGAATTGTGCATTGGCAATAATTTTGATATATGCATTGTCCACTCCATAAGATTCCACTTCAGACAAAGAGTTTTTAATAGAATTTTGAGCAGCAACTATCCATTGTAAGTCATCATTAACCGGAGAGCTATTGACCTAAATATAACAAATGAAAATTATTTATTATTTTATATATATTTTCTACAATTATGTCAAGAGGTGATTTTTTTTTATTCAGATGTGCATATTTTTTTTTTGAAGGATTAATTTGTGTTTTTTCCTATTAGTTAAAGGTACCTACTTGTACAGTAACTACAGTTACCATCATGGACAAAGCCACATACGTGATTATTTTTAGAGCAATCATTTTTTTTCTTCTAATATTTGACACTTACGACAGAAAACGAAATGAACAACAACTGTCGTTAAAGACGAGTATACGTTTTATATGAATAATTACAGTAATGTGTTATCTATCTAAACAAAATCCCCACTATACCATCATGCTATACCAATAAAGTTGTCAGTTTTTTTTTTTTTTTAAACATTAAATATCTGTATATAATATAAATATCCAATATCTGTTTATTAAATCCGCAATTTCTGCATTTTTTTGATTTCTAGGAAAACATGTAATTGATATAGGTATATATTTTAATTTGCCTATCAATATGAATAGTTTATGAATATAATAAAGTTATGGGTCTAGACACCTTTATTTTAATGAGTACCTACGATAGTTTACTATTATATTCTATAATATAAATTTAATACCTAGTCAAGAATCAGGATGGTGAATATCCTGAGTAAGAGTAGGTCGAACTATAGTTTTATTTTAACTATATATAATAAAAATTCCACCAAAATGTATACATAATATATTATAAAAATTTCAATATTTATCTTTAAAACTAAAGTTAAATATGTAGGTTACAGGTACACAGTTTATAGAAAGTGAAATTGCAGATAAATATTTTTTTCATTTCATTGCATAGGTATGTTTGTTTGATATATATATAATAGCTTTTTAATTAAAGCTTTGTATATATATTAATATACATTGTATATATTATAATATATGTGACAACTTTAATTGAATGAAAAAATGTTTGATTTTCCAACTAGTTTTCATAATAAATGGGAAAAACCGGAAAAATGTTTAGGGAAAGTTTACAGCATTAACAATGCCAGTTCGTTATTTTTTATTTTAGTTTTTTGTTACAAATCGGTTGAAAATTATTGCAGAAACCTGAAATTTGTACAGAATACTAATATTAGCCTTTTCTATACCTACATAATAAAAGTTTAGAAACATGATACTGATTTGTTATAGCCCAGCTGCGGCGAGTGAAAACTTTATAGCCCCGCCACTCAAGTGTGTTATCGTCTCATCATTCATATAACAATAAATACTAAACAAAAAACAATAAAAATTATAATTTGTATTTAGGAGTAAAAAAATGTAATGTATTATATTTTTTTTTTTTTTAAATTTTGACGAAAATCTTAAAAACTATAGCATTTCTAAATATGTATTACCAAAATTCGGTCAGAATGGTTTTTCGTTAGTAATTTATAAATTAAAATTTAATAACATTATGTATCTTACCATTCCAATTTTTTATAATGACTTATTAATGAATATTAAATTATTAATAATAAATTGTTAATAAACTATAGAATTTTTAAGTAGAGGAAAAAAATTGATATTTTATTAGTATGATGTATGTAATATTTCTGTCATAAATAACAATTTAAAAATTACGTAAATCATTATTTATTAGGTTTTAAAATTTACATCAGTCAGTATTATTATACATGTTGATCACACTATATAATATTGTTTTTTTACCACTCAAGTTATGTCTAGAGAGCCTATATAATAATATATAGGCTCTCTAGTTATACCTAATTAAATTCCAAATTAGCAGTTGATTCATAAAATATCCTTACCTAATGACCTAGCCATGGTTTATTATTAGGTATAAGTATCATTACGTATTGTTATTTATTCTAAACACTAGGTTGTACACCAAAATACAAATTTGTATATATTTTTTAAAAGCGAGAAGGTCATTTATTGTTAGCTAAAATATCTCCATTCTTCAATTATTTTAAGGTAGTAAAATATTTGCATATTATCTACATAATAATATATTATAATATTATATTCTTAAACTAGTAAATTTTTTGAAAACTTGTACAAATATTAATTTATATTATATTATGGTATAATTTTTTTTATTTTAAATTTATTCTTGACAAAATTTTTTGAAAATTATGATTTATAAATCATTATTTAAAAAAACATAAAAGTATAAAAATTTTAAAACTTTTGAATCAATATTTTTGAATATTTAATAAATCATTCTTGCAATTTAAATTTTAACTTATATCATTAATAACATAATATAGTAGGATTAACATATTATATATAACAAACCGAACTTGTTCCGCATAATAATTATTTTGTTTATATTCATCTATCATCATAAACATATATTTCAATGACTAATACATATTAGTTATATAGACGTGGTGGATGCAGTGGTGTACTGGTGTGTCCAGAAATTTTGAAAGGGAAGAGATGTAGTAAATAGAATAATGAATAAATCATAAAATCGTCTCGTCTACCACAATTAGACTATAAAAATTAGTAATTTAATAACTAATTTCTAATCAATATTTTATGCTTTTTCTCATAGCTTCGCTGAAATATATTGCATTTTGATATTAGATTATTCATACTATTTGTATTTTTTAGCTAACGGGGGTGTAATTTAAGAATATATTATTCCTATAATATATCTGTGGTTGTACCTATCTACTTTATAATTATATTTAATTAATTTAATATTAATATTTAATTTATAATATTTGTTTTAATTTTAAAGTATAGGGATATATGTATAATAATACATTTAATTTATACTAATTAAATAAGTACAACCATATTATACTCAAATGTTTTATTTATTAAATTGGATACAATTTTGTTTTTTTGTTTTTCGATGCAGCATGATTGTGCCCATTTAATCTTTTTACCCTCAAAAATCATAACACGATTGTGCTCCAAAAAATATGTGTCCTTTTTTACCCACCGCATATATAACACAATTGATAAACACTTAAAATCATGATGATACATGATATAAAAAAAAATTTAAAGGATATTTCAGTTTTTACTAATTTTATTCAATATTATACTAGGTATAGTACATGGAAACATGTATTTAGAAAATATGATAAATTTGTATGGATAATTAGTAGGCAATTTTTACTGTATTGATTTGACTATTTGATCATGTATTAATATTTTTAAGTAAGTAGTATATTTTTGTGTACTAATATATGAATAACAATTGTAATTTAATATGTACTTATGTAAACAATTTTTAATACAGCTGTCAATCATGTTGTATATGCGGTGGGTAAAAAAGAACAACGCCTATATATTTTTTGTAGCACAATCGTGTTGTGTTTTTTTTCGAGGGTAAAAAGGTCAAACAAGAGCAATTGTGTTACATCAGTTTTTTTCTTAATGTAAAATAGACATGAGAACCTACCTAAACAAAATATTATTATTTTGTTTAAAATTAATGTACAGTAGATAGGTAAAACCGAGATACTTTATACTAATTGAAATACAATATTTCTATTGCAATATCGTACTTACAACAGTTTAATGAGACGTTTGCTTATTCTTATCTATATTTTGATAAAAAATAAATACATTTCATAGAACTAAAATCATTACCTACAATATTAATTTCAAATAATAAAATGGTAATACTGCACTGAACAGATATCAAACTGATAATCTTTAATTATTATGTCTAAACGGAAATATTGTTGAAACTGATATTATTTTTTATATTATGTTCAGTGAATATAATATTGAACAAATATTGTTCATTAATAAAAAGTATAATATCAAGTTATTATACACAGGAAATCCGAGCTAGGCAGATTACTTAAACTATAATGAATATTTCTTACATGACAACAGCAATAACTAAGGGGTTAAAATTAATGGATCACCACACCTCATTTTGTGGTCAGCGTCATTTTTATTAGTGCCCCATTGACCAAAATTTGTTGTTATAGTTATACTGGTATATTTTTGTACCTAAATAAATATTTTAATTATGAAAAACATAGGCATAAGCTGTTGAAATATAGGAAAATTAGAATAAGAATGTACTCAGAAATCTTCATAGAAAGGAGTTGTAGACAATTTTTGATTCTAAGTAGAACGAATAGTTCTTTTCTGAAAGGAAATCGGCGTAAGGAAGCACTTTAAGTTATGTCATAAAAAAGATTAAATGGTCTTTGGTTTTTTAAAAATAATTTTTCAAAACCACTTTTATTTAATTTTACATAGTTAAAATTGGTTTTGCCCAGCAAAAATGTTCCAAAATTTAAGACTGTTTAAACATTTTAAACAGGCAAAACAAAAATATATAATGTAACTAATATCATTTATTATGTATGTAGCTGACCTTTTAAAAACTAAAGAAACATAATTTATATGTATTTAATATCATTATTTTTCATCATGGTAAATCAAATGAACTTGGCCTATAAGCCAGCAAAAATTAATTTCACAAATAACCAATTCACCTTTTTAGGTAGGTACTATGTACTAAATTATTGACTAAATTGTATTACTTACTACTATCAGTAGAGCATGCAGGTTTTTTTTTCAGAAGGGGTTTTGTTTATACAAAATTTCCTAGAGAAGGAATAGCACATATTTTAAATACAGTACTATCACTATTATTACTGAATAAATTGTTTTTGATAGAATTAAATTATATTTTATTCTATGGTATAATACTGTTGAATGTAAAACTTAATTTTAAAAATATAGTAAAGAAAGAAATTGCGGGTTGAGGGGTGTTGACTCTTAACACCCTTCTGTGTGAGCCACTGACTACCATAGACTATATACATACTAATGTAGGTACATATATACTATGTGAAGTAAATGAAGTGGCATCTAACGAAACAAAGTTGGCTTGAAATAATATAGGTGGAAACAATGCTGTAGAAACAGTGGTGCGTGCGGTTTTTTTTATTTATTGTAAGCATTAGTATTTTTATGTTCGTTCTTATTTTTTATGTTATTTTTAACAAACTATGTAAAACTTAATTACATATAGTTATTTGAAACATTTACATATTAATGTAACTCAAAATTGACTTTTTTTTCATTTGGTGTGGAATAACATTAAGATATAACTATACAGTCCCTCCCTTCAGGTTTTTTTTTAAATTTTGTTACTTTAATATGCAAATTTTTGAAATAACATTATAATTAAGTTTTACATGGTTTGTAACAGTAACATAAAAAAACAAGTACAATGAGTAAATTCTGATTTCATCAAAATGTTAAGCATAAGGAGCATGAAGTGTTATTTTTTTATACAATGTTTTTG